TACCTTAATTTTAAAAATCTAATTTTATTTTTAACAGTTTGAACACATTCTGACACAATCTAGAATACTTTCTGTTGTTGATAGAGCTCCTGAATGGCATAAAAAAGTTTTAGATAAAATAGCTGATAGAATTAAAGAAAGCTTATTTAAATTACAAAATCCTTCTGATTGCAAAACTGCAAAGTTTTTAGTTTGTGAGGTAATTATTTTAATTAATTACACTCTACTCTCGATATAACAGAGGCTATTTAACTGGGAAAAAAGTTCCTTTGAGTTCGTTATATCGAGATTCAAGTGTATTTATTTCAAATAATTTTTTCAATTTTTTCCCAGTTAAATAAAGGTTGCGGTTTTGGGTGCCAAATACATCATGTAACTTATTGCCTTATAATGGCAGCAGCTTCTAATAGAACGTAATTTAATTTTCTATTAAATACTTACTATTTAACTATATTTTTTAAAGATTAATACTTGAAAGAGACGGGTCATCCTGGCGTTATTCTGAAAATGGTTGGAATGCCGCCTTTTTGCCCATTGGAAAATGTTCATGGGCTGAACATGTAATTCTTTTTTAGAAATTTCTGATATACCGGACCTCATTATGAGATATGTACTTCTTTGAGGCAGAAAATAAATCTTAAAATGAGCTGTATCTTAATAGAGGGTATCGCTTGGTCAGGCACCCATGTTGCTAACTAGTAATTTTATAATCGTATCTTAAATTAAAGATATCTAATGATCGGGACATGACTGAGTTTTTCACATAAGATCCGGAATCCTCAAAACCGTACTTTTAAAATAGTCAGTTTCCGGGCTACCGAGCATGGAACCTCCGTTCTGAGCCTGGTCCGATGTCTAATTTTAGTGCTAATTCTATTATTGGTGAAATCCGATTGTAATTTTTTTTCAGATAACAAATAACCTTCATATAGAACCATTTAATGGATTATCCCAAACTACCAAAATTGTTCGATTGCCAATAGTTGATGTTCTTACAACTAAACCAAAACAACTTCCTCTTGCATTTCCGTCCCAATTTTCTGAATTATTGCTCATACATCATTCAGCCCCTCCAGCCTTTTTTATTGGCCAATTTTTAAATTTTCTTATGCGGGAAAATGAAGAAGTAAAGAAATTTGTTTTGCAGGCAAAAGAGAAAATACCTTTCCATCTTGGTAATTTGCTATTATTTAATTTTTATTTTCATTTAATTGTGATTTTTTAATTATTGAGTCTTTTCTACATTGATATTTTAATTAGACATTCATTGAGTGTACTAAATCATTCCTTATTTAAAATGAACTGGTGTAATAGCTTAAAATTATTTGGTATCATTTTTCCATGACTTAGGTATGTGCTTTTCACTTGTCTCAGATGCATAGTTCTCAAGTAGAGTTGTCGTTTTCGAGTCGGGCCGACGGTCTGCTAGTGAGATTAACAAGCATCTATTGGTGAAAATCTTGATAAGAAATCTATCTATCCAAACAATCCCCACTCATATTAAATAACTTTGATTTAATTATGTTTGATTTAATTATGCCAAGAAATCTTCAAAATAAAAAATTAAAAAAATTAATTCAGGTCCAGTAGTCGGTCTACAGATTCGACGTACAGACAAAGTTGGAACCGAAGCTGCCTTTCATAACTTAGAGGAATATATGGAATGGGCCGATCTGTGGTTTAGAATAGAGAGAAAACGTTTAAATTTCCCTTTATTGCCTAAACGTGTATTTATTGCAACTGACGATCCTTCTGTTATTACTGAAGCTAGGGAGAAATATGGAAGTAATGGATGGATGATATTTGGAAATGATGAAATAGCAAATGGTGGGGGTGTTTATTTAATTTTCGTGGCTTCTTCTAATTTTTTAAAATTAATAAAATAATTTAATCCAAAAAATATTTTAGCAGCAAAGCCAAATACCCGTTATACCGATCGCTCACTTCTTGGTGTTATTACAGATGTTAGATTATTAGCTGAATGTAGCTACATTGTTTGTACTTTTAGTAGTCAGGTAATAATATAAAAATATGTTTTTTGAAAGTAAGGGTTTTCGGATCTGAATTTTTTGATTGTAGTATTGGATCGGTTTTAGATATCCAGTAATCTCCCATATTCGCCAACATATTTACAACTTTTTTTGATTATGAAATAATTTTTGAAGGTTTGTCGAATCGGTTATGAATTAATGCAGACAAGAGTAGGTGATGCTGGGAACGACGTACATTCTATAGATGATATTTACTACTTTGGTGGACAATCGGGTAATATAATTTAAAAAAATTTTTTCACGAACTTCCATTCACTATCGTTAATAAGAAATACGAAATTTCATAATTTTTCATTAACTTCTGAACTTGACCATTAGGTCATTAGTTGCCCGGTAACTAATTATTTTAATATTTGTTACAATTCTCTTAACTTATTCTCATGATTTTTTTTTATTAAGCTCACGAAATGGAAGCAATTGATGGATTTAAAGCAGAAAATGATGAACAAATAGATTTGAATAAAGGGGATATAATTGGTTTTTAAAAGTTATCTCCATAAACATTCTTAAAAATTTTTAGGAATAGCTGGAAATCATTGGAATGGTTGGTCAATGGGGAAGAATAAACGTACTGGTCATTCAGGCCTTTTTCCTTCTTATTTGGTACGCGAGAAATGGATAATTGAAGACTTTCCTATTTTCGAGAAATAAATACAGTCAAATAACTTTTCTATTTTATTTACTTTTGAACTAAAGGGTTGGATTCAGACTTGGTAATGGACATGAGTTTTGGTATCCGTATCTGGATATTTACGGCGGATCAAACGGATGTCCGCAGGCCTTTTGAAATTATCTGTATCCATTACCAAGTCTGGTTTGATTAATTCATGAACAGAGCGGAGTGGGGTTAGCTCGGAATACCCCCGGTCAGTTTAAAAGGAAAATCCGCATACGGGGCCCTGCAATCTGAAAAGTTCGGATTCTTGTTGTCTACTTCCTTCCCCATTTTAAATCCAGTTTTGTTTGGTCTAAAGTCGCTCAGTCTTGAATTAGCTTACTCATAGATTAAGACCAGTTAATTGTATTTTCCACAATGAATCTACTACACTCACTCTCTTCCAGATAACTATATTTTCTCTTCAACATTTCTAAACTGTCACAAAATCCAAAATATTAAACCTCTCGTATTTCAATATGTACTGGTCATTTAATTTATATATCTTGTCAAGATTTATTAAGCCAAATTATTTTTTATTAAATTTACTAATTTGCTCATTACCCAAAAATTATTTTTATATTCCTATATTATTTTAATATTTTTCTTTATAATTCCGTCCATTTTTAACCAATTACTTCCCGGTATTTTATATACAACCTTCTCTAACATTTTTATTATTAAAGCCTAAGACCCGAAGAAGTATTTATTAAAAAATAATTGATATTTGATGTCAATAAACTTCGATTAATATTTATGTATTTATTAGAGATCAGACCGATAGATTTTTTTTTCAATATTTTTCGGTACTTATCGAAAAAATATCGTCCAACCATTTTGGCCGATCTCTAGTATTTATATAGTTAGCGAAAATTATTACAGAAAAATAAACGATATAAAAATATTATTATTAATCAATTTAGTTTTAATAATTGGCGTATTTTCTTTAATAATTTCTCTCAAATAATTACCTGCGAAAGATTGAAGCAATAAATACTAGAGATCGAGCTGGGTCTGGACTAAGGTATGGGATTTTCCTGTATCCAGTGTCCAGGCCTAGGCATTTTTTGACCTTCCTGGGTTTTTCCTGAACTACAGGCCTAGGTAAACCCAGAGTAAATCGAACCCAGAGTTCAGGAACAGGCCCAGGCTTTTCAAAAATCTCGATCTCTAATGAATACAACGGATGAAGATATGAAATATTTAAAATCCTTGATATTTTTAGAGACTTTAAACATTTTAATATTTACATAATTATTTTTATCTGTTTATTTTTCATTTTCGAATTGTTTAATTTTATTTATTTTTAAGTAAAATAAATTTATTTTTATTATTTTTTTGTTGTTGTCATGGAAATGAGTAATAAATAAAAACAACTTTTTTCAAGAAAAAGGATAATTTTATATTTTATTTTAAAAGAAAAATTAATAAATTTATTTAAAAATTAATATTTTATAATTTAAAATTATAGTTCCTTTATTCTCAAACTAAATGTCCCGACGTAACGAGAATTTAACTGGAAATGATCAGAGAAAGGCATATCTTCTTAAGGTTAAGGAAAAATAAAAAATTATTTTAAATATGACGTTAATTTCTTCTAAAAAATTTTTTAAATAAAAATACTATGCTAGAAAATTAAATAAATTTTCCACCACTCTTTTAATCTGATACGAATTTATTTTAAAACCGAAAAAAGGAATTATTATTCCAAAAAACAATTTAAATATATAGGTTGCTTCACACATTCTTTCCCTCAATTTAACCGAAGAAAGATTGCCAAATGTTACAGCACTTAATAATTTCTGTTTGTCTGATGTTCCTTTACTGTCAATTTCTCGTTTGGATCAAGTAATTATTAAAATTAAATTTGTATTAAATTTAAAAATTTGCAGAAAGGACATGTAGATCTTAGCAACGAGGTTAATTTTATTTTTAGTTTATTTTTTTAGTATTTTTTATTTATTTTTATATTAAGTTATTTTACTCGATTTTTAAAAGCTAACCTGAGTTCGAGGTTATTTCTAAATATTTTTTAAACCAACCGGATTTCGGAATTTTTCTTCAAAATTTTAATCAGTAATTATTAAAAAGTATTTTAAAGAAAAGAATAAAGAATTTTTCGAATTTTATTTAAAAATTCTTTGAAATTTTTCTGGTTGAAATTTTTTTATTTACAGTCAAAATTATCAATAAAATTTTGTTTTTAAAAAGATAAATAGCCATCAAACAGCCCAACTTAGAGCTGTTTTCTACAAAATCAAAAATACTCCTCTTAGTCTAGAAGATTATAAAAACAATGTTTGTGTTATTAGTATACACAAAAATGCAAGTGAAACATTGCTTGGAACACTCAAACAAGTAAAAAATAAATTTATTATAAATTTAAATTTATTTTTAAAGGTTTTCTCGAAAGTTTTAATTTCACAAGCAACAGAGTCTGGGCAAGAAGCACGTTTAAATAATTTAGTTGGGGAATTAGAAGAAAGTTTGATTAATAGTACAGGAAATAATAATTTGGGCGGGAGAGAAGAAACTGGTAAATAAATAATTCTTAAAAATAATTTTGAGTAAAACATGATCTTATATTTTTCGATCCTCTCGTAGGGTATGCTTATATTAAGAGTGTGCTTCTTTCAGAGTGTGTGGTTTTGTTAGAATTCCAAAATTGACACATTAAAAAGGGTAACAATAAGAAAAATTTTTTGGAGCATGACAGGGTGATCTCCTTTTGTGGGTCCATTTGTTCAATCCTCTTCTGCTGGAAGTTATTCTCAAAAAATGCATAATATTTTCCTTAATTTATTAATTTCAAAAAGGAGGCGGAGTTGTTTCTTCTCTACGTTCAGAAATCGAGTTATGGCGTTTAAGATCAAAAAGAGGCTCTGATCAGGCACAAAACTATTATGATGCTTTAGAACCTTTGGCAGAACATTTAGAAATTTTGGAAGTATTTTACTTCAGAAATAAAACAAATAATTATTTTTAAAAATAGGGAAATGATTTGGATTTAGATGAGCTTTACTCGGCTATTGAAGCAGCAGAACAGAGTGTAGATGCATTATGGAATTTGGCTGTTGATGAACCTTATCCACAACAGAGAATGAAACAATTACTTAATTGTATAGGTGGATTTGTGTTCTTAATTTATGTACTTATTTTAAGAATCACGCAAAAGTTTAGATAACGGCAGATTTATTAAATTATGCCCGTGCCATAATGAAGGGGTAAATGGCAACGCTCATTTACCTAACCTCAAGGTCATGGCTAACCTTACGAACGTCTCATATTACTGGTAAGGCTACTGGTACGAGCCCTGGTAATCATCACCTCACGATGATTATTCAAAAAAAATTTCGAGCAGTCATCTAACCTTTTAGCTAGTAAGATGTATCTCCATTTTTAAATTAAGGAAAATTCAATCCAAACAATTTTTTGTGAAGTTTTGAACTAATATTCGCAAGAGAAATTTTTTTAAAAAAGGTCAATTGATTTGTGCTTCCATTGTTCGTCGAATATCAAAAGAAGAGTATTTTCGTTCATCAGAATTATCAAAAACAGCTCTTTCATTAACACAACAATGGATAGACGCTGTTGAGTTATTGACAGCAAAAAGTTGGCCACAAAATGGGTTACATCCGTGGGAGGGTTCTCCCCATCAAATGGAACAATTTGAACGATTTCATAAACGAATAGACGAGGCAATAGAAATTGTTTCATTAAACAATTAAAATGATATTCATAGGTATATTCTCTAATGACTCTAGGAGAACAAATTGTTCGTTTATTGGCAAATAGAAATGGGCAGCAAGAAGGGTATAATTTCTGACAGTTTTAATTGTAAATTAAAAAATATAAAGGTCCACCTCTTTACGTGACCAAATTCAGAAGGCAATAAACAATTCTATGGCAAACGCAAATCCTTTTGAATTTGGCCCTCATACAGAACAGCAATGGAAATCTAGATTGACTGCCACAGAAAGGGCACTCGGTCCTTACATCGAGTTATTATTACCTGAACTTCGTGAACGAATAATGGAGTCAGGCGGAAATGGTGGAGCAATGGGGGATGAAAGAGAGTTGATAATTGACGAATTACATCGTTTTAGGCATTTCCTTGCTCGAAAACCAGTTAAAGATAAACTACAGGTGATTTGGGATTACAAAAATGGCCTTGAAAGATCTCCCTTCATCTCTAGATTCCATTAACCTTTCTATATTCTATCACAGGCCGAACGTCAAACACTATTTGCACGACTTTATGATGAAATGAATTCTCAACAGCATAACTTTGAACGTCTTCTAAGTGCTTCTAATCTTCCAACAGGACGATTTCTAACCGAAATTGCAGCAAAGATTTATGCTCTACGTGCCCAACGTTCTCAAGTGGATAAACTTCAGAAGGCCGGCGTTGCCTTTTTCGAAGACCTTCCAAATTATGAACGTTTTGAACAAACACTTAAGGAACTGTCAGAACAGTTAATTGTAGCGGAACAAGAACAGTTTGATGCTTGGTGTCGTGATATGATTGCACATATTGTAGATGGGGGAGGAAATGATGGAGATTCAATTTCTTTACAGGTAATATTTGATTTTTTCACAAACTTGGAGTTTCCCAGAACCTGTAATTTTCGAATTACTGATAGAGAGCCACCCTATATTTTAACTAATCTGATTTTCTTAGACAACTGGACGTTTAATGGTTTTAGAAAGAGCCCGTGGCATTCTCACTGTCAGTTTCAGTGATAGACTTGCTCGTTTACTTCGTGAAGTCTCACAACTCCAATCCATGGGATTTAAAGTGCCAGTAAAAATTTTGGCTTGTGTTCAACAAGGAGAAAGATTCTACGAATATGGAGTGCTTTTGAAGCAGGTAAAGACTTTTTTACATCCGATTAAAGGAAAAAATGTTTCAATATTTAATTTAATAAATTATTAAGGTTGCACATTTTTACAACACAATAGAAAAACAAATGCTTCCATGCCAACAGGCAATGCTACTAGATGAGGCTTTGGCATTTGAACAATTAGTTGTACCATCTTCTAAATCTGGACGAGATAGAAAACAAAGAACTGCTGTTAATTTAACATGGGAAAGTCCAGAAACGCTGAAGGGATATATTGAACGGTTACGTGAAGCTGCCCTTCAATTAACTAGCCATAACCGGTCAGATTAAGCATACAAATTATTGAAAAATATAAGTCAGTCGCTCTATTAGAGAGCTATATTAAAATTATAGAGTAGATCAAGGCCGATAATTTGTGGCTGGATATTCTCGAGAAATTCCAATTAAAATTACAACTATCATAACTAGACTTTCCAACACACGTTCTCTGATTTCCAGACTTTTTAAATTTTATAATAAAATTATTTTTAAAATTAGTCGATTACGAAAGGCACATACTGAAATTATTCAAAATATACTTGAATTGGGTGAAACCGATTTACTTCGAGACGAAGAAAAATGGAATGCTATCATGCTCACTATACGGCAAAAATTTTTGGAAGAACAAAATTTTGTTGCAGTTAAGGCAAATATGCAACCATGGGCTAACCATTTAAATAAACAATTATACAAAGTTTTACAACAACAATTTTGTTGGGCATTGGCTGATTTACAGGCATTTTACCTTTTATTTAAAATAATTATTTAAATATTTTATTAGGGCCAAATGCCTGTACATCATGCTCAGCTTATATTTCGTGATCAGCGATTACAATTAAGACCTCCATTAGAGGTCCTTTAATTATAAAATAAATACAATCGGATATCACTTTAAGATGCGTCCAATAATAAATAGTAGAGTTCTGAGCAGGCTCTAGAGGTTTTGACTCGACAAATCCGAGGTTTCAGGGCTAAACCATGAAAAACATGAAACCATGAAAAACCTGGTTTTACTAAAATACAAGATTCAGGGCTATAGGGCCTGCCATGTTTCCAAACCTTAATAAATCACCCCAATTGAAGGTACATTTCTTAAATTTTTTGTCGACTGAGTGATAAGAGATACTGGGGCAATTTAGCCCTATTTAGGTTACACTTCATTCACTGATGTTTTGATGTTCGACTGTATTGGATATAATTAATAAACAAATAAAATTTGAAGGAATTACGTCAAAGCTTTTATGGAGCTCTTCGTAAATTACTTGGAATACCTCTAAGAATGCGAGGAGTTCAAAATACTGAGAATGAATCCAATCTTTTTGCTAGTATAGTTAGCAGTGAATCAAGGCGTTTTCATTCATTATATGAGCGTTCAGAACAAATATTTTCAAGATTAAAACAAATTGATAGAGAATTTGATGAATGGACAGCTTTGGCACAGGTATCGAGAAATAAAAATATTTATACGATTATTATCTTGAATTTAAATCAGTAAATGATATATAGAGGGCTGTCTTCTTCTAGATCCTTTTTCCATTCACTAAATTAACTCCGTACCGGAATATTCTTGCCATTTCCTATTAGATCAGTCTTGTTTTAATACATAGTATCTGTCTATGTAGAATTTCAAATAATTAAATTTAGGTAAATCTAGAAGAGTTACTTGAACAACATTTAAAAGAAGCTGAAGATTGGGAACGTCAATTCCGTGTTATTCGCCTTAAACAGCGCGAACTCGATCGCATCCCTATGGAAATTTGTATAGAATGTATTCATGTCTCGACTAATGGGGTTCGATTATTGGCCAATGATTTGTTGAGAAGGTACAAGTTGAAATAATTTATCCTTCCAATAAACTAGCAAAAGATTGAATCGAGTTGATCTTGAGCGCTCTCTATAGCATATTTGTTACCCACTCATCCATCTCACTCTACAATATGTAGCTACAAATTTTCAATCATTATACCATTTGACTTTTATTCGAATTTTCAATAATTTCCTATTAGTAGATGCAGTTTTTATTAGAGCTCGAGCTTTTCTATTTGCCGGGCCCGGTAACCGGGTTTTTTCTTCCAAGGTGACTCGGACACGGTTTTATTGAAAATTTTATTCTAAGAATGCATGATGCTTTGTGTTGGACGCTTAAACATTCGATAAGAACAGAACTGTCAGTATTAGATCAACAATTGACACAAGGTATTGAACAACTCTCTGCTTTACCCCAAAGTATGGAAGAAGTATCAGAGGCATGTACAGCTCAATTAACATTAGCTAAGAGTGTTTCTACTTTTAGAGCAAAGGTTAATATTGCTGAAGAAAAGGATCAAGTTCTCAGGTTGAAAAATAATTTTTCTTGTAATAAATCCATTTCACTAATTCAAATTATTCAGATCTTTATTTGGGAGTGAGCAAGGTCTCGCAGATACTGTTAAACAAACACGTGAACAATTTGCCAATTTCCTAAATTTATTAGAAACTCATGAATTAATGATGCGTGATCAAGTAAAAGCAATGAAAGGAAATGTTGGAGCATCAATAAAAACATTGGGGGAGGAGTTAGAAAAGCTTCATTCACTTTGGAACCAATTTAAACCGCGTTCTGAAATATTTACTTCTCAGGTGATTAAAATTGGAATAAAAGATTATTAGATCAACCTAGGAATACGTATTTAATGTTGAATATAAGCCCCTAGAAAAGAAAATTTTTAAAAACAATTTTAGGATGACCGAATGGCTCTTATCCGTGCTGTGGAATTTATTCGAGAAAAACGTCAAGAATTTGACAAAATTTTTGTTAAAATTGAAAAAGTAAAAGTTGAATGCGAGCAATTTGAAATTGAACAACCAGAATGGCCTCTCCTTAATGAACTTAAAATTGATTTGGAAAATTATGAATCAAATTATCTTTTGTATGAAGATTTCAGTAATGCCCTCCAGCCAATTTCTGATCAGGTGATCAAAGGAAAAAATTTTTGAAATAATTTTCCTATAGGAATGGATACTTTTCCGAAGCAAAACATACATTTTCGATGAATTTTTACAACAATGGCTTGAAAAACTAAAAGCAATTCAGACTAGTAATGTATCTGTTAGATTACAAAAAGATATTGAACAAATGCGGGAATTATCTATTAATTTAAAATTTTGTCGTGGAGATATTTTTAGTGCAGATCATTGGTGAATTTTAATTATAATTTACCTAACCTAAAAGTTGATAGAAAGTTGGGAGATAATTAATGGTATTGCAAGAAATCAGCAACACTTTATTGATAGACTACATGGAGGCCTAAGTATCCATATTAGGATTTGGGTTTCGAACCGGACCGACGTTAGAGTATCTTTTTTGGGCCTCATTTTCATCGGTCCAGGCCTGCCCGGCTCCAACCTTAACCCTAATGATCAACACTATATTTTATGGCTGATCAGTTATGGCTTACCGGCCGAAGAGTAGAGACATAGCTATATGAAGTGGTCGGAAACAGAGACACAAAATTTCAGCTCTTAAAAATTGGTCTAGTTCTGTTACTTTGGAATTAGCAATTTGAGAATGATTAGTGTCATTAAATAATTAATTTAGAAATTAAAATATTACATTTTAAAAAATTGAAAGGCTTGAAATGTTCCGTTTACTTGGTCTTCCTCGCGGCACTTCTCTTGAAAAGCTGACATTTGGAAATCTTCTCAATTCTCAACAAAAATTAATAGCAAATTTAGAAAAATTAAAAGAATTAAATGCCCGCGCCCATGGGGAAGTTAGTATTCGTGAAGCAATACAAGAGCTTGAAATGTGGGCAGCACAGGCGGATTTTTCATTAACAGACTACAAGTATCGAATTTTAAAAAAATAAATTTTAAAAATATTTTCTAATAGAATCCTTTCCCTCATACTTTAAATCCTTTCCCTCATACTAAAAGGTGAGAATAATTAATTGAGGGAGAGTAATTAGTTGAGTAAACCATGAAAGCCAAAAATTCTCATACATAGATTAATCTTAAAAATTAAAAGTAATATTTTTCTCGTACAGACATGCTAGCGGAGCATCTCTCAAAATAGTTAAAGAATGGAAGCCTATACTTAATCAAGTTCGTGATAATCAAGCTTTAATTTCGTCTCTTCGAAATTCTTCCTATTATGCTCAATTCGCCGAACAAATAGGAATATGGGAAAGGAAAATATCTGATTTGGAATTATTTTTACACCATCTTAGTGAAATACAGCGCAAATGGGTATATTTAGAACCTATCTTTGGAAGGGGTTCTTTGCCTTCAGAAGCAGCACGTTTCAATCGAATAGATGCTGAATTTCGGATTATTATTAATGATATTTCAAGGTGAGTTTAGTAAATGGATTTTTTAAAAATTGGAATGGACATGGATTAAATAAAGGCACTCTTGTAGATTTCATATGCATTTGGGATCTGGCCGACGTAAAAAAAGATTCCCAATTTCTGTAATCTGGATTCCAAACTCAAACTTTGTGAACTCCCAATTTTGGATTTTGAGGAATCGGTTCGGCTAGACCTCTGTTACTTATATCTATAAATTTTAAGTAAACTAATCGGGGCAAATTTTTTAACTAAACTTTTCGTGGACATAAATTGCTGATCTCAGGTAACCCAAATTTACCTAATTAAATTAAGATCACTGGGAGCCCTAAAACAGATAGTTCAATTCTGAATCTAATACCAAAGGATTTAAGAGTTGGTCGGACTTGACACACTCATATAAAATTAATATTTTAAGAGACAATCGTATCATTTCATTATGTTCTGGAAACAGTACAGCTTTGGGTCGGACTTTGGAACAATTAGTGGATCAATTAAATAGATGTCAACGAGCTTTAAATGATTTTCTTGAAGAAAAACGGGGCGCATTTCCTCGATTCTACTTTCTTGGAGATGATGACCTTCTTGAAATTGTTGGGCAATCTACAAACCCAACAGTTATTCAATCACACCTGAAAAAATTGTTTCAAGGTGGTTTAAAAGTTGAAAATAGATATTGTTCCAAAATTCTAAATGTTAATCATTTATAATTTATGTAATAGGGCTGGTGGCACCAGTTATTAGAGCTGTCCGAGACTCTTGGTCTTGGTCTTGGAACCAAGACTTTTCTTGGTTTTTTTTCGGTCTTGGTCTTGGTCTTGGTCTTGGGGTGTTTGTCTTGGTCTTGTCTTGGTTTTATTTTTTGGTCTTGGTTTTTTGGCCTTTTTGGACCTAGTGCTTGGCCATCCAAAATCCTCAAAATTTTCGCATGCGGCGCAGAAAATGGAAGAAATCTGGCTTCTTGAGTCCCAAAATTCAAAAAATTTTCGCCTGCGTCGCTGAAAAAGTGAATTTTTTGGCATACGGCCTTCCAAAATTCTCAAAATTTTTGCCTGCGGCGCAGGAAAAGGAAGATTTTTGGCTTCTCGGCCTTCATAATTCCCAAAATTTTCGCCTGCGGCGCTGGAAAATGAAGAATTCTGGCTTCTTGGCCTTCCAAAATTGTACAAATTTTCGCATGCGCGCAAAAAGATAGGGATAAAATAGAGGATGGATATCAGCAGCCACCATCACCTAATCACCCAGGCCCCCCAACTTCATACTATTCCTTTTGATCCCTCATAATCTACTTAAATTCCCCTTTAAACCTCGATATCCTCCTTAATCCAAGGGCGTAGCCAGGGGGTCGATTTCGAATGGGGGGGGGGGCTAACGTTGGGTATCGCCAAAATTTTGGCTTTACCTTGGCGTTCCAGACGTAAAATCCCACGACATCCCTCATAATTCACTAAATCCCACGGCAATCCCTCTTAATCCTAGATATCACTAATATCCCGTTAATCCACCCAAATCCTCTGAAATAATAACCTATTTTATTGATTTTCCACACGAATAAATTCCCCGAAATTCTTTGAATTTCGCATAAATTTTTCGAAATTATAGATAATTGTGCTTAAGTTGACTGATCGTATCAAAATAACAAAAAATAAACCAAAAATTTGACCTATGGGATTTAAAAATTTGGTCTTGATTTTTGGTCTTGAGTCTTGGAGTTTTGGTCTTGGTCTTGAGTCTTGGTCTTGGAAAAAATTTTGTCTTGGGTCTTGAGTCTTGAGTCTTGGAAAAATTTTGGTCTCGGACAGCTCTACCAGTTATTAACATTTAGTTTTGGTTTTTTTAGTTTCAACAGATCCCTTTAAATTTTTGTCAAAAGATGTTAAGATTTATGTTTTTAGAATTTGAATAACCGCGAATCTTCTTTTGAAATAACCTAAACTTTAAAGGAATCAACAGAGTAGCATTTGATACACAATTACAAAACATTCGTGCAATGATTTCTGCTGAAGGAGAGACAGTTCAACTTATTAAACCTGTTCAAATAGTGCCAAAAGTTGAAATATGGTTGGAAGCTTTGGGTGAAGAAATGAGGAATACTTTACAAAAATTGGTAATTAAATAGTCAAAAACCTTTAAAAAGTCTGATCTGATAAATTTTTAAAAAGGTTGTTGACTGTCTTCACGAACGTTCATTAGACCCAAGTCGATACCCTTCACAAGTCTTATGTCTCTCTGAACAAATCAGGTTCTGCAGCGATGTCGAAAAATGCCTTTCTAATGTTGGGGGAAATCCTACCGAAAACTTAACGGCATATAGACGTCAATTAATTAAACAACTTGAACAATTGAGTGGGTCTTCTACAGATGATCCTTTAGGACAATTAAAACTGAAAGCTCTTGTATTGGATTTGATTCATCATATTTCAATATTAGATCAACTTGTGGTTGCAGAAAATAATCAGTCAGTTATTTGCTGGACTTGGAGAAGACAATTAAGATTTTATTTGGTATGATAGGCTTTAGAGAATTAAGTACATTATTTTTACTCGATAAAAATTTAACAGGTTTCTGGCCTCGTTATTGTGCGACACGCTGACCATGAATTTAACTATTCCTACGAATATCAAGGAAATGCCCAAAAATTAGTTAATACACCATTAACTGACAAATGCTACCTGACTTTAACACATGCACTTGCTATGGGGTTGGGAGGAAATCCTTATGGCCCTGCTGGGACAGGAAAAACTGAATCTGTTAAAGCACTTGCCGGACTTTTGGGAAGACAGGTAAGGAAACTCAATTCTCAATTTTCGACATTAATTTACTCTATTCAGGTCTTGGTTTTCAACTGTGATGAAGGTATTGACGTAAATGCCATTAGTCGCATATTTGTTGGCCTAGTTCAATGCGGCGCCTGGGGATGTTTTGATGAATTCAATCGCCTTACAAAAGGAGTTCTTTCTGCTGTTTCTAGCCAAGTCCAAATTATCCAAGAAGCTGTCCGTGTCCGTGCAAGCAATTGCCAAATAGGAGATCATTCTTCTGTTCCAGTCAATGGAAATTCGGCAATTTTTGTTACCCTCAATCCAGCAGGAAAAGGTTATGGTGGCCGGCAAAGATTACCAGATAATCTAAAACAACTTTTCCGTCCAGTGGCTATGTCTGTGCCAGATAATGAATTAATTGCTGAAACTCTGCTTTTTTCGGAGGGTTATACACAAGTATACATTTATTGGGTTAATCAAATTTTTAAAAATTCCCAGGCAAAATCTCTAGCTAAAAAATTAGTTACAACATTTTCACTTGCCTCTGCAATGCTTAGTACTCAACAACACTATGACTGGGGACTTAGAGCCCTTAAAACAGTATTAAAAGGATGTGCAGATTCAATAGCTAAAAGGAGACAAGATATTAAAAGTCAACAAAAACAACAAAAATTAAAAATTGAAGAGGAAAGGGAACTTATTGTTCAAAATTTACATTTAAATACAATGTCTAAACTAACTTTTGAAGATGCGCAACGTTTTAGGATTTTATTAGAGGATATTTTTCCGGGTGTGCCAAATCGAACGGTGCTCATTTATTTATTAAAGTTATGAAATATAGGAAGTCCTTTTGAATCAAATTAAAATTGGACGTCGTTGAGGTCCTACAAAAAGAGGCAGGTCGATAGGTTAGAGTACTACAAGGATGACAATATATTCTGATAGTACACAATGGAAGTCAACCACTACTTTTTTATCAAGAGGGAGAGTTCCACGACTTTTGAGAACCGGACTTTTTAGGATATGTAATCGACATGGAATTAAGCATAATGTCGGTGATAAAATTAATATTAGAGAGGCTTTGTCTAATAGTGGTTTTCAAATGATCGATTTTATAAAAACAGGATTAAAATTATTCATAAAATGACCTTTATTTTCATCATTTTAAATAAGAATGAGTCAATCTAAACATTATTTAACTCATTCTCTTAAATGGTTTAGATGCAATTTGATGAGCTTCGTCCACATTTGGAACGTGCTGCTCAAAATATGCAAATAACTCTAAGTATAGTCCAAATGCATAAAATTTTTGAACTTTATGAACAATTACGTCAAAGAGTTGGTGTAATAATTGTTGGGCCACCAGGAACTGGGAAATCTACACTTTGGCATTTGCTACAGGGAGCTTTGTCTAACAGTGGTTTTCAAATGATCGATGTCTACAAGTAAATAAATAGCTAAATAAGGACCGGTGGGAAGTGTCCATTATAGAGAAGGGCGTTCACTATATAGAGGATAATTTTGGGAAAGAAATCCTAATTGGGGTAATTGGAAGAAGTTCAGTTTATGGAGAGTTCCAAATAGAAGGATAACTTAAATAGAGCTTTTAAATAATTTTAAAGAATGAATCCAAAATCAATGCCTCGTTCACGACTTCTTGGAAATTTGGAACCAGACACACGTGAATGGACGGATGGAACACTAAGTCAAGCCTCTCGCGTTGCAACTCGAGATCCAGGGAAACCTGCTTGGATTGTTTGTGATGGAGATGTTGATCCAGAATGGATTGAAGCTTTAAATTCTGTTTTGGACGATAACCGTTTATTGACTTTACCTTCTGGAGAACGAATACAATTCGGTCCAAATGTCAATTTTATTTTTGAATGTGTTGATCTGAGTCATGCTTCTCCAGCAACTATCTCTCGTGTAGGGATGATTTTATTGAGTAGAGAAGATTTGCCTTTGAAATCTGTTATTGACAGGTAAGAATATTGTAGTAGAGGTTCTAGGATTTCCGAAATTTCAAGTCGGAGCCGGTGAATTTTTCTAGTAACGATCACAAACGCATATGATCTAATAAAATAATATAAAATAAAATATTTTATTCCAAGGTTTATTGTGCAATACGGGCATTCCTTACCAGCCCAATTAGCTGATTGGATTGGCAAGCATTTAGTGCCAGCCGTTGAATGGACCTTTGAACATCTTAATAGGGACTTTATGTGTAGTCAAGTCGGTAAGTATATCTTTAATTTAAATACTAATTATTTAAATAAATTTGAATCTCAAAATACAGTCGGATATCAATAAACCCTTGAAAATGAAAAATTCAGTCTAACCATTCAGTAACAGGACTTGTACCAAAATTTTCGCGTGGCGCGCGAAACGCCATTTTTTCAAATTTTTAAATCACGCCAAACGCCATAATGCATTGCCCTGCTCAGTACCCACTGTCAGAACCTAAGTCAAAAATATTAAAAAATACCCATTTTTAATTAAAGAGGGGTTAAAATTTTGGAGTTAAAATTTTGACTGTATTATTAAAATTTTAAATAAAAATATTTCTTTTTCAATTTAGGTATCGTAAAAAATGTCCTGTCACAAATAAGATATATCCAAACAATAAATCAATTTTTGGTTTATGTTCTGAGAACTTTACTTCCTTATATTGAATTTGATTCGAGAAATGAATTTGCTGAACGTGTAGTATTTAATGGAATAAGTTTGCCTGATCCAAGAGCGCCTTTGAATATTTTTGCTGATTCTCGTAGTGATCTTTTGATGGCCTATAGTGAAGATGATGGAAATGTAAAGAAATTTATCTAATTTTTAGAGAAAATTATTTTTTATATCCAACTTTCTCGTTAATCTTATCTTGAATAGAGAATCTTAAATGAACTTTAAAAATTATTTTTCGGAATTTTCAATCATTGAATTTTTTTCTGAAATGTTTCCCTTTTCCAGAATATTGGATACACTCCGATGTACCATAAGCCCAATGATCTATAACTTCGTTCAAGATTGTCAAATCCGGGACGCCCTGGTATGGTTCGATGCTTCCGATGAGTTGAATCGAACCATACCAGGGCGTCCCGGATTCGATAATTATGTCGAAGTTATAGCTCGCGATAGATTGGGGCAATCGAGTTATCCGAAATCCTGCGAACCCCCGACCAGCGAAATTTAAAAAAAATTCTATTTTCACGGCGTGACCCATCTCTATTCTACTTTCGAATTTCCTTATTTTTGAAGGTTCCACAGTGCTCAAAAGATTCTTACATGAATCATTTTACCACCAAAATAACCAAAAAATTAAATTACTAAAATAATCTCGACTTTATTTTTTTATTAGATTCTAACAACATTTGATAATTTAAATATTTTAATAAGTCCAAGAATGCAAACAGCAAGAGAAACACTTCTTAAATGGCTCCAAATTAATAAAACGCAACAAAATAAAATAAACGAATCAGAAATAATTTCTTTTTATCCAAAATTCGAAAATATTCTTTTATTAGGGCCGGACGGTTCTGGTAAAGAATATTTGTTGAAAAGTTGTTTTGAAGAAACTGGGATATTACAAAGAACTTGTCTTTTAACAATGCATTGTGGAGCACAAAGTAATGCTTTACATATTGAACAATTGGTTAGTCTAAATTTTTTGATAAAGGAAAAGATTAAATATTTGAATTACTATTTGGAAAGTAGATATAATAATAAAAATTTGTTTAGATAATTTGATAGGTTGTCCGAAATTGAAGGGCTGTCCGAAATTGAAAGTAGATTTTCCGCAGCCGCAATCCGCAGTCGGCAATTTTAATTCTAGAATCCGCACCCGCAATCTGCAGTCCGCAAGTCCAAAAAACACGCAATTTCACGCAATCCGCAGTCCACAATCCTCAGTGTTGTGGACAGCCCTGATTGAACAGCCCTGATTGTGGACAGCCCTGATTGTATACGATAAAAGAAGATCAGGATCTCGATACTGATCTTAGTTTACTGACATCAGTCAGCCCTACTACATACAATTATTGTTCATATTTAATATTATAAGTAATATACGGAATCCCCGTTACAAAAATCCGGAGACCAAATAATTCACAATTTCCGGCTTTGAATCCCGAAAATCCAGTCAGATTTTTTGTAAAAAAATCTTGATCATTTTATTCCCCTCAACATTTATTTACCAATATTTAGTTGTTAGAACATTGTGTTCAAGTAAGCGGCAGTGGAGGTTCGAGCGGGCGTGTGTTAAAGCCAAAAGAACATGAACGATTATTATTACATTTAAAATCTCCAAATCTTTCTGCAACAGATATTTACGGCACTTCCCAATTAATTGCTTTTCTTGAGCAAGCATTGGACTACAATGGGTTTTATGATAAAAATTTAGAATGGATTGGATTAGAAAATGTCCAAATTATTTTAAATGTTTCAACTGCAAGTGGAGCAGAAAGATTTCCTTTACCAGAAAGGTATCTAATTTTAATACGATAAAAATAAGCACATAAAGGAACGAAGACTGATAAACACAAGCTATAAGCACAAATGGGGATAAACAGAAAAAGGAGCGAGGTTATAGCATATCAAATACACAAACATACATATTATATCATACTTTCTCCAATTGAGCGGTCGTCTCCAGGGCCCGTAGAATAAATTCGGGGTTGGATAACCCGGTTAAATAACCCCGTTAAACAACCCGGGGGCAAATAACCCTTAGTTACGGGTTAAAATCGGTAGAATAAATTCAACCCCGAGTTAAGGGTTATTTAACACCGAACTAAGGGTTATTTAACTAGTTGAGTTAAAAGGGTTATTTGACCCTTTATATTTTATTGTCAAACCTATTTCGCAATAATTTATTATTATTAAAAAGTAGAGGTCGAACTTTTCAAAATGCCGGGCCCGGGACCCGGTTTTTTTCTCAAAATCGCACCCGGACAGGAAAAACCGGATTTTCTCAAAAATACCCGGTTCCGAGCCCGGCCCGGGTTCGAAACTCTATTAAAAAGAGTAATTGTTTACTTTTATTAAAAAGAGAGAGGAGACCCTTCCTGCCATGATTCTCACGTGCTTAGGTAAATATTCTATTTGATCTTTAAACCCATTATTATAGAATATTTAGACAGTCCCCTCTTTGGGAGTATTTTAAAGGAAATTAAAAGTTTAATAGAAAATTAAAAAATTAGAATAGAAATTTAAAATTTTTTAAAATTTTGCAATTTAATAAATGTTTTAATTTTTTGGAAATTACGCATAATTCGCATGTTACCCTGCCCCCTAGTAGGGTTGCAATTTGCCCCTTACCTCCGGGTTATTCAACCCGGGTAATTAATTTATTCTACCGGTAATGTTACGCGGGTCAGATAACCGGGTTATCTGACCCGGTCATTTAACCCGAAGCTAGGGGTTTGAATTTATTCTGCGGGTTACGGGTTATTTAACCCCAAGGTAGGGGTTAAATACCCTTTACCCCGAATTTATTCTACGGGCCCAGTTGAACGGCAATATTCATTAGAGTGCCCTTTGACAGGGGATTAAAAGATAGGGCGACCGGCCACTCAGGGCCCGTAGAATAAATTCGGGGTAAGGGTTATTCAACCCCTACCTTGGGGTTAAATAACCCGTAACCCGTAGAATAAATTCAAACCGCTAGCTTCGGGTTAAATGACCGGGTCAGATAACCCGGTTATTTGACTCGCGTAACATTACCGGTAGAATAAATTAGGCTGTACTTTAGTATAGGCCCACCGAGATCGGAACTTGTGGTATATACCATTCGATTCGTCTCGCCGAGCTGAGTTCAAATATGCAAGAATTTTCTGCGGGAGACGAAAACTCGCAGAGATATAGGCCCCCGAAAATTGAAAAACCATAGGGGGGACCAAGCACTTTTTTGGGGTGAAAAATTTGAATATGCAAATGATAGCTCATTCGAAAGAGCTCCTCGAGCTGAGTCGAATGACACCAAAATCAACAAAATCAGACATGATTGGATAAAGTTATGATCTTTTCTTTTAGCTCCTTACCTATGGCATCTGTGGAGATTTTTGCTGCTACGGAGGCCTCAAATACGTCCAGAGCAAGGAAGATAGGAATAGGTTTATGTTACGAGCCCAGACCCAGCGCCCGTAGACTCCCCGCGAGGCGCGTGCCGCAAAACCCCGCGCGAAGCGCGGGGTTTTGCACAAGCGCCTCGCCGACGCCCCATAGGTTTAGTTTTTTGTTTTTTGCATCATAACTTTGTATAATCTTGTTCAATCACGGTGATTTTGGTGTCATTTGACTCAGCTCGTCGAGCTCTTTCGAATGAGGTATTATTTGTATAAAAAATTTTTTATTCCAAAAATCGCCCCTTTGGATCTTCGGTTTTTAGGGGCCTATATCTTGGTCCAATCATGTCTGATTTTGGTGTCATTCGACTCAGCTCGAGGAGCTCTTTCGAATGAGCTATCATTTGCATATTCGAATTTTTCACCCCAAAAAAGTGCTTGGTCCCCCCTATGGTTTTTCAATTTTCGGGGGCCTGTATCTCTGCGAGTTTTCGTCTCCCGCAGAAAATTCTTGCATATTTGAACTCAGCTCGGCGAGACGAATCGAATGGTATATACCACAAGTTCCGATCTCGGTGGGCCTATACTAAAGCGACCCCATAAATTAATTACCCGGGTTAAATAACCCGCAGGTAAGGGGCAAATTGCAACCCTACTAGGGGGCAGGGTAACATGCGAATTATGCGTAATTTCCAAAAAATTAAAACATTTATTAAATTTCAAAATTTTTAAAAATTTTAATTTATATTCAAAACGCATAAAAAAATTTTTTAACAAAAACTTTTACAAAAATTTTTGAAGCAAAATTTATTCAACAATTAAAAATTTTATTAATTTTTTAATCTTTTTCATTTGACTATATCTCTTTTTAATAATAACAATTATTGCGTAAACAATTATTGCGAAATGGATTTTGCAATAAATTATAAAGGGTCAAATAACCCAGTAACTCAACTAGTTAAATAACCTTTAGCTCGGTGTTAAATAACCCTAAACTCGGGGTTGAATTTATTCTACCGATTTTAACCCGTAACTAAGGGTTATTTGCCCCTGGGTTGTTTAACCGGGTTATTTAACCGGGTATCCAACCCCGAATTTATTCTACGGGCCCAGGTGGAGAACTATCTGTTTAATCTACATCAGGGCGGCCTTTTTACCCTATTTATAGAGGATTTCCCCTATTTTTGATCTTTTCGCCCCATTTTTTCCCTATTTTGTACAATTGCCATATTTTGCCCTATTTTTATCAATTTTTAAAATTTCAAGATGACGACAGTCATCTTGACGTGGTTGTGGTCGACGACGGTCATCCTGACGTATTCGTGGTCGACGACCGAGGTCGTGGTCGGCGACAGTCATCTTGACGTGGTCGTGGTCGTCGACAGTCATCTTGACGAGGTCGTCGACCGTGGTCGTGGTCAACGACGGTCATCTTGACGTGGTCGTGGTCGACGACCGAGGTCGTGGTCGGCGACAGTCATCTTGACGTGGTCGTGGTCGAAGACATTCATCTTGACGTGGTCGTGGTCGACGACCGTGGTCGTGGTCGAAGACAGTCATCTTGACGTGGTCGTGGTCAACGACGGTCATCTTGACGTGGTCGTGGTCAACGACAGTCATCTTGACGTGGTCGTAGTCAACGACAGTCATCTTGACGTGGTCGTGGTCGACGACCGTGGTCGTGGTCGAAGACAGTCATCTTGACGTGGTCGTGGTCAACGACAGTCATCTTGACGTGGTCGTGGTCTACGACGGTCATCTTGACGTGGTCGTGGTCTACGACGGTCATCTTGACGTGGTCGTCGACCGTGGTCGTGGTCAACGACAGTCATCTTGACGTGGTCGTGGTCGACGACCGAGGTCGTGGTCGGCGACAGTCATCTTGACGTGGTCGTGGTCGAAGACATTCATCTTGACGTGGTCGTGGTCGACGACCGTGGTCGTGGTCGAAGACAGTCATCTTGACGTGGTCGTGGTCAACGACAGTCATCTTGACGTGGTCGTGGTCGACGACCGTGGTCGTGGTCGAAGACAGTCATCTTGACGTGGTCGTGGTCAACGACAGTCATCTTGACGTGGTCGTGGTCTACGACGGTCATCTTGACGTGGTCGTCGACCGTGGTCGTGGTCAACGACAGTCATCTTGACGTGGTCGTGGTCGACGACCGAGGTCGTGGTCGGCGACAGTCATCTTGACGTGGTCGTGGTCGAAGACATTCATCTTGACGTGGTCGTGGTCGACGACCGTGGTCGTGGTCGAAGACAGTCATCTTGACGTGGTCGTGGTCAACGACGGTCATCTTGACGTGGTCGTGGTCTACGACGGTCATCTTGACGTGGTCGTGGTCAACGACAGTCATCTTGACGTGGTCGTGGTCGACGACCGTGGTCGTGGTCGATACAGCTTCATCTTGATCTGCTCAATTTAGTTAAAACTATTCGAAAACATGCGGAATAAAGATTTTTATTCAAAATTTTAATTATTTTTACATTTTTAAAATAATTCCAATTTTTTGCCCTACTTTTGACCGATTTCGCCCTATTTTTTCCCTATTTTTGAGTACCTGCGCCCTATTTTAGTGGTTTGGAAAAGGCCACCCTGATCTACATTGAATTTTTGGTAATACAACAGAGATTTTTTTTTGAATTTGATCAAACCGAATTTGATTTCGAATAGAATAAAAAAGGTGATAAAAATTAGCTTGTATTCAAACAAATATTTGATGGGAGGAATCCAAGCTTAACGAATTTAAATTTAATGAATAAATTATTTTTATAAAATTTTTTCTTAAATTAACAGATTTGCTTCCAAACTACGTGTTCTTATTTTGGATTCACCAGATGAGAAAGAATTAAAGTCAATCTGTGCTGCTAATCTTCGGCCATTTTTTGATTCAAAAATATCTAAAGGAGGCTCTAACAATTCTAGTAAAGTTGAAATGATTGTCTCGGCAATGGCAACTACTTTTATTAAATTAACGAAAATATTTACACCTAATGAACATTTTCATTATGTTTTTACTACTGGTGATTTATCAAATTGGGTTTGCAGTTTACAACGTTATGAACTTGATGAGGGTAAAAAACATTTTTAGTACCTATTTACTTAAGTTTTGGCCTGCGTTTTTTGGTTCCGGTTCCGGAACTCAAATTGGATCCTATTCCAGTACCGGTCAAAATTTCGGTTCCGGTGAAACACTGATTGATCTTATTTCGCTTTTAAAAAAAATTTATGGACATATGCGAGTTTCCGTATACATTGATTTACTAAATGAAAATCAGCTTCTGTATGACTCCGGTAGTTAACTTTGTATGACACCGGAAGATTTTAAAATGCTGCATCCGGAGCTCAACTTTCATTCCTCATGGCTTCAGCTAACACCCCAAAATAAATGAGAGATAAGGAGAGGAAAAGGAGCGGTTTGGTCATAAAAAATTTTTCCATATATCAAACGCTTATTAAATGAGTGTTTTGATGTCATATCTAAAAAAATGATAATATTTCTTTACGGAGGAAGAAGCCGTTGACTAACACATTATCGGTACCCGAATAACTAGCAATTGTAATGATCTGGTTCAAGAATTATAAAATTAATTTAACCTATATTTTCAGCAGATACCGATCAACTTTATCAATGTCTTTATTTTGAAGCTCTTCGAATTTTTTCCGATCGTTTAATAAGTACAGAACATCGTTTACAATTACAAACTATTCTTAATGAGCATTTTCCTTTACGTGAAAGATCTTTAATATATGCACCAATGACAGGAATTTTGACAAAAGAAAACAGGAAACGTGGAGGCAAGTCTATGCAACTTATTAGCAAGTCAGATTATTCTTCACAACTGCAACGGGCTATCAATCGGATGAAGGCTGATTATGAAGAAGCTATTTCTTTGCCTATTAGTGATATTTTTATGGAAATGTGCCTAGCTTTGGACAGGCTGGATAAATATCTAAAAAATAATTTTTCAGTTGTTTTAGAGCTCTCACGTCACCAGGAGGATCAGTTTTATTGGCCGGACAGTCAGGAATTGGAAGCAGAGCTGCGATTGAAATTATGAGTCAAATGCATCAAATGAAGTAATATAAATTCAAAAAATAAAAAATCGAACGGCCCATTTTTTCCTACCAATTCCGATCTCTTAAGGTTCCACTTTACCAGGAACAAGCTCTTAGGATCTGTTACCTGACACTTATTTCTGAATAATATTATCTGAGTAATGTTCATCGAGAAAAACAACCTCTTAAGCAAAAATCAAATACACTTTCAAATACCTAATAGTTGCTCTAGTTATATGCCCTGATTTTGCCAGGCTGCGGTATATTATCCAGGCCCACAAATATCTTGTCATTATTTATACGATATTTCTATAACTAGCGGAGTTGGTCGGCCTTCGGCCGCCCCACCCCGCTAGCAAAAACAAAACAAACCAAAAAACAAACTCCAAATCACAACCTCAAAATTGGCCTTAATCCAATCATCATCAGAAAAACTCGATAGTCAAAACATTGACCAGCATTAAAACAATACCTTATTACCAAAACATTTAACAAAGCAAAGCATCTAATAGGCGCACCTGATAGGGTACACACAGGCGCTCGTGTGACTCCGCTAGCATAACAAAACAATTCAACTCAAGATCCGATTCAAAAGCCTTTGGCCGGCCCATCTCGCTTACCCATTTTTTCTCCTCACAATTTCGCCTGCTTCACAATTCCCTCTGTTTCAATATTCCGCCTACTTCTCAATTCCCATTGTCTCACAATACCGCCTGCTCTACAATTCTCCGCTTCACATCACCCTTCATTCTCCTGCTTCAATATTCCGCCTGCTTCACAATTCCCCTATTTCAATATTTCTCCTGCTTTACAATTCATCTTGTTTCAATATTCCGTCTGCTTTACAATTCCCCTTGCCTCTCACAATACCGCCTACTTCACAATTGCACCTGTTTCAATATTCGACCTGCGTTACAATTTCCCTGCTTACATATTCCACCTGCTTCACAATTCCCCCTTCGTCAATATTCCGCCTGTCTCACAATTCCCGGTTTCAATATTCGACTGAAATTTGACGCCTAGCACTTCAAATGAAATTTGACGCCTAGCACTTCAAATGAACGTTGACGCCTGGCGCTTCAAATGAACGTTGACGTCTAGCACTTGACACATGAACGTTGACGTCTAGCACTTGACACATGAACGTTGACGTCTAGCACTTGACACATTAACGTTGACGCCTAGCACATAACAAATGAACGTTGACGCTTGGCACTTCAGGTGACGTTGACAGCTAGCGCTTGACACATGAACGTTGACGTCTAGCACTTGACAAATGAACGCTGACGCCTGGCACTTCAAGTGACGTTGACAGCTAGCGCTTGACACATGAACGTTGAACGTCTAGCACTTGACACATGAACGTTGACGCCTGGCACTTGAAAAATGAACGTTGACGCCTGGCACTTCAAGTGACGTTGACAGCTAGCGCTTGACACATGAACGTTGACGTCTAGCACTTGACAAATGAACGCTGACGCCTGGCACTTCAAGTGACGTTGACAGCTAGCGCTTGACACATGAACGTTGAACGTCTAGCACTTGACACATGAACGTTGACGCCTGGCACTTCAAGTGACGTTGAACGTCTAGCACTTGACAAATGAACGTTGACGCCTGGCACTTCAAGTGACGTTGAACGTCTAGCACTTGACAAATGAACGTTGACGCCTGGCACTTCAAGTGACGTTGACAGATAGCACTTGACACATGAACGTTGACGTCTAGCACTTGACAAATGAACGTTGACGCCCAGCACTCAAGAGGACACAGGACCCCAGCAAACGTAGTCGTAGAACAGAGCGCAGTAAAGTTGAGAAGTGTTGAAAGCAGTTGAAGAATGACTAAAATACCCTGCTTTTATACTATATTCCTACCCTTACAACCTATTCAACTGGCAACGCTTTACTATAAAAACCCCCCTTTTCCTCACTCCCCCAAATCATTTTACTATAAAAGCCCACTTGTCTATAAAAGGACAGACAGACGGACAAACAAACACACAAACCCTTCTCAATTATATAATTAGATGTTAATTTCTAATTTACTTAAACAGGCTTTGCAATCTTCGTGTCTCCTCTTCTTACTCATTGCGGCAATTCAATCAAGACTTGAGAGATGCAATTCAAATGGCTTGTGTGGATGGTGAGCAAGTACTGCTAGTAATAGAGGATTACCAATTGCTTGATGAATCATTCCTTCAACACATCAACTCTTTGATTGCCTCAGGGAATGTACCAGGCTTGTATAATAGTCAGCAGGAAGTTGACTCACTCTTATCCCGTCTGAGGTACTTGGATTATTGTACATAAAACCACTTAAGTTAATTTTTAAGAGATTCTGCAATGGAAGAGGGGTTTGGAGGAGGGGGAAGTACAACAGGAAATCTGCATGATTACTTTGCTTTTAAAATTCAGCAGAATGTGCATGTAGCTATGATTATGAATACTGGACATCAAAAATTTGCATCAAGGATTCTTTCAAATCCGTCGCTTTATAAGAGATGTAATATTGTATGTAAATTACTATATCGACTAATACACCTTGAATTTACAAAAATCGTGAATTTCCACTATACTTGGGTTACGATGTTTAGTGATAGTGGACTTCTGGTATTGTGAAAGTTAATAAGGAGAGAGACATACTAATAGATAAAAACACATCCACCGCGATCGAGATTCGAGAAACTGTTATCAAAAACTCTAAAATAGAAACCGTTATTCTTTTGAAATATTTTTATTATTACCTATCTTTAATACAGATTTGGCAACCAAATTTATCTCCTGAAACACTAAAACAAATTGCCGAATTGTCTCTTATACAAAAGAAAGATGATTCTGACAAAAATTCACAACCTCCAGCTAATTGGTTGTTGCAATCATTTGTTCAATTATTCCAATTGGCACCCTCAGAAAGTCAATCACCCGAACGTTTTTCAATTTTTGTAGAAAATTTCCATCAACTTTTGTCTGCAAAAAGGGCAACAATTGAAAGGCGTGTAAATTCTCTTAGAGGAGGGGTTACAAAATTAACAGAAACGAGAACTGCTGTTGCTAAACTTCAAAAAAGGGCAGCTAAAAAATCAAAACAATTAGCTGAAAAACAGGCGGAGGCTGATGCTGCACTTGCAGAAATAACTAAAAGTATGACTAGTGCAAATGAACAGAAGGCTGATATGGAGGGATTGAAAAGTGCTACTGAGGCTGAAAATTTGAAAATTGAGGAGCAGAAAAAGCTCATTGATCAACAATTAAGCGAGTTGAGTTTTTTAAATTATTTGATTTGTTAATAAGAAATTTATACTGACAATAAATAAAGAAATAATTGGAAAATCACGGAATGGAAATATTTTTTCGCTGTATTCCATTTCTGAAATCTCAAAACTGGGGTTAGGGACTTTTCATTTTTTCGGGCCTCATTTTTATTGGACCGGACCGACCGAGTCTTTTTCGGGCCGAAATCGATGCCGAACTCGATCTTTCGGACCGGACCGGGTCCCTAACCCAGCTCAAAACCAATCTATATTTATTGTACTCTTCTAATACGAGCCTAATCTACTTTATGCTCCCAACGCAACTTGAAGATGATAAAATCCCATTACTAAATGCAATAAATTAAGATTTAAATTTTTAATTATTATTTTAGGTTGAGCCGTTGTTAAAAGAAGCTCGAGAAGCTGTTGGTTCAATTAAATCAGAAAGTTTATCAGAAGTACGTAGTTTGCGCGCTCCTCCAGAAGCTATTAGGGATATTTTACAAGCTGTTTTGCTTTTTATGGGTATTTTAGATGTTTCGTGGGAGGTGAAATAAAAATTCTTCTTAAAATTCTTAAAAATATTTTTAAGGCAATGCGAAAATTTTTAGCCAAAAGTGGTGTTAAGGAAGTACTTTTATTTAAAAAATTTTTGAAAATATATTTTTAATATTAGGAAATAATTAATTTTGATGCTCGAAGAATATCCCCAGATACGGCAAAACGTGTTAGTGCTTTAGTCAAGTCAAAGGCAACATCTTTTGATCCTAAAAATGCTAAGAGGGCGTCAGCAGGTGGGAGTTTCTAATTGAATATCCTAGTTCACATGTCCAAAGCCTCGAGATTAGTATACTAGTAGAGCTACATATTTAAAAATATGACTTGTGTCTTTCACGATTTTTCTTAGGGTTTTTCGATTTTGGGTCAGGTCTTGGTATCGAGTTTTAGATTGTATATAGGCTTGCTCGGTAAATGGTTCTTTTTAGGGTCAATATCGATGATCTCGAATTATCTCAGTCTCGAATCCTCCAAAATTTTGGAATAGAGATTTGGAAAAGAGAGCTCGAATCAATAATATAGAAAAAAAATCTTGCGATATCACGAAACTCGCGAGATTATCCTTGCGTACCGAACACTAATATATAGTCTCAGAGTCTTTCGTGATCTTGTGGAAGACTCAGTTTTGGTCCAACTCAATCCTCAATTTTAATCTCTAATTTTAACTTTTATTTCTGTAGCTGCCGCCCCACTAGCTGCATGGGTTAGTGCCAATCTACAATATGCACTAATTGTAGAGAAAATTGCACCGTTAGAGCAAAAGAAAGAAACTCTTGAACGCAATTTAAATGCTGCAGAAAAACAAATGGCCTCATTATCAAAAGGCCTAAAAACTGTAGATAAAAGGGTGGAAGGTTTAAAATCAAATTTTGAAGTTTACATGAAAGAAGCAACTGAAATTAAAATTGGGTTGGAAAGGGAACAGGCAACTTTAGTTGTTGCTAGTACTCTAGTAGAGAGATTAGGAGATGAATACACTCGTTGGCAACAACAAAGTAAACAATTAGAAACAGAATTGGCAACAATTGAAAATTGTTGTCTTTTAGGTTTTGTTTAGAAATTATTATTTAAAGACCCATTCACCAAATAAAACTGATATTTGTTTATAAAATTTGGTTCAATTTTGCGGGGCGGGGAAATGTAAGGATAATTCACCCAGCAGCATTTAAAACGCTTAGGCGGGGGTTAAACGATCTAAAAAGAAAAAAGAGAAAGCATTAGTCGATGCCCCGGTAGCTCAGAGGTAGAGCTCCTGCATATAGCGAGCGAAAGCGGGAGGTCGCAGGTTCGAATCCTGCCCGGTGGCTAAACTTTTGCAAACTCTTTCTGAAATATCCTACGGGGAACGGGGTTGGGGGAGGGGGAGAGCTTCCCCCGTTCCCCGGAGAATTCCCCGCTGCGTGGAACGGGGGTTGAACCCTACTATAAAATTAAAAACGTGGTTCAAAGAATAGCCGAAATCCGTGAGTGATTAATCTGTCGTGATCACCCTACAAGTACATAAAGATTAATCAAAAGCTTTGATAAAATTCTCAATATTCATAGCATGAGATCAGATCATATAAGCTATTATTTGATATTAATTTTGGGAAAAAATTTAACAGAAAGCACCAGTGTAGTCAACAACGTCTTCAACCTTTATTTTAAATTTTATTAAGGTGCTGCCTTTCTAACATTCTTGGGACCCAGCACGGAAGAAGTTCGAACCCGTACAATGCAAAATTGGCAGTCGCAATTCCCTCAACTGCCTGAAGGATTCGATATTCTTCGTTTTTTATCAACAGAAAGTGAACAATTAAATTGGAAACAAGCTGGAATTCCTTCTAACCGATTAGCACTTGAAAATGGAGCTATAATTTTTCGAAGCAAACAAACACCTTTTGTGATAGATCCGAGTGGAACTATTGCCTCCTTTCTTTTTAATTACTTCAAGGAAATAAAAAAAGCTGAGGGTGGGGCTCAATTGCTTGTTGCCAGTCAGTCTGATTTAATGACACAGGCAAGTTCTTTTTTAATTTTATAGTTTAGAGAACTAAACAGTTGATTAAAATAACATTTTCCAATATTTTAAACAGCACTACCAGCCTCAAATAATAATTAGGTTCTACCTGAATTTATGAGTCCAATCAAAAAATAATTGGATTTTTCTTGGTATTGCAAAGTAGGGGTAAGGTTACAAAACATTTCTTCATGTCCACGCCCACTGGGTCTGGGACCGTTCCTTACCCTATTCCTCGAAATTTCTTAAAGTCAAAATCGTTTTTCTGAAATCTTTAAAAATTGGCTATAACTTTCAGAAATTTCGAGGGATAGGGTAAGGAATGGTCCCAGACACAGTGGGTGTAGGTCCGGAACATGATAAAATGTCTTGGAACCATACCCCAATATTTCAACACCAAGAAAAATTGAGTTTTTTTTTAATTGGCTGGTAAAGACATAATTATATAACAATGGAATATTTATTTAACAAAGGGATATATACAAAGGGACATCAATTAATAATTATCCAATTGCAAAGGGTTTCAATAATTTTTTTTAAAAAATTCTCTAACACTAAACTTCAATTTCTTCCAATTTAATTTCAATATCCTCTTCATCTTTAATCATTTTAAGAAACTCTTCTTCTTCAATCACAATTTTATGTGTTAATTTACACAATTTAATATCCTCCAAATAATTAATTTCAATATTTACCACTCTTTTTACAGGATTTTGAACTTTTTTTACTTTTTTAAATTTTTTATTAAAATAGAATTGGTTAAAGTTGAAATCAAGAGAATAATTCTCGAGTAATTTATTAAAAGGATGTTTAATTCTATATACTGTAATTCTTTTAAATTCTACACCAGTCAAAATTAATGATTTTCCATTCAAATAAACATTAAACACTTTGACTGAAAATTTTTATTTAATTAAATATTATAGTGGGGATTAGTGGGAATGAAACTTTCATTTCCGTCTTTTTTGACTCATCTAGATACTCTTTTTTTGTTTCCCCTTCTTCCGCGTTCCATTTTTAAAATACCGCAGGCCCCATCCCTGGTAGTAGAGGGGATCCGATTGGGGTAGGAAATTATTATAAGGCCAGGTTTTCGTATTTTCTCCTTGTCCAATCAATTTGAAACTTTCATAAAAGTTTATAAGGTGATAATTATTTTTAGGGTTGCCGTTTTCGGTTCGAGCCGACCGTGTCACGATACTTGCAGATATGACATTTGCAGACCCGACACTTGCAGACCGACTTTTGCAGACCCGACATTTGCAGATACCGACACTTGCAGATATGACACTTGCAGATCAGACATTTGCAGATCCGACTTTTGCAGATTAGACCCATTTCGCTCTTCTTTACCTTACCTATACACCGTGGAGTGTTTGCTGCAGCGGAGGAATCCTGAAATGCCCATCTCATCGATGATAGGAATAGGATCGTTTTTCGAGCCCGGAGCCCAGCGACCGTTTACTCCCCGCGAGGCGCGTGCCGCAAAACTCCGCGCGAAGCGCGGAGTTTTGCACAAGCGCCTCGCCGACGCTCCATAGGTCTACGTTGAACATTTTAAACCTCCGGAAAAAAGAGAATCTCCGGTAAAAAGAGTGGTGCCGTTTGACTCAGCTCGTCGAGACGAATTGGTATAGGTCTTATATCAAAGCCTTTCCACCTGTATATACTATATCCTTTGATTTTTTATGATTTTTAAATTTTTTTCAAAAATTAATATCTGCAAACGTCTGATCTGCAAGTGTCATATCTGCAAGTGCCGGTATCTGCAAATGTCGATCTGCAAACGTCTGCAAATGTCGGGTCTGCAAATGTCATATCTGCAAGTGTCGTATGACCGAGCCGACGTTCGGTGCATTTTTTCGAGCTTGGATTTTTTCGATTCGGTTCGTTTTCGAGCTTAAAAGCCACGGCTCGCTCGATTTTCAAGTTTCGATTCGGGCGAGCTGGCAACCCTAATTATTTTCATAAACATTCAATAGTCCTCATAAACCTTCTATGAAATAATGGGTTGTCTGACAACCCATTATTATACCTATTTTAAATTATAAAATCGTAGCATAAATAAATACGAAAAACTACATGACATTATTTTTTAACATACTAATATCATTTCTTTTCCAAGTTCTATGATAAAGGTATAACTTTATCGGCTAAAGGGTCATCTTATTATGAAGTTTGGCTGTAGTTTTAAAAATTTAACCTGAATTTCTTGTTGCATTTTTATCTTTTATTTTATTAAAATTTGTTTTAATTGTTTTAACTTTTACTCCATTCAATTTGTACGAGCTTCTTTTTACCTTTTTTAGTTAAAATCTGTTACAGTAGAATCTCAATAATATAACACCCTAGGAACCAAAGCTTTGGATTTAGGCGACGCTTTATCGGTAATTAGTATTTTCGAGTTCCCACTGTTTTAATAGTTGTCATGGATAGACTGGACTGTCTTCCGCTTTTTTACGCTTCCGCTTCCGCGCTCGCCTGTTGTTAGTTATTTTGTCCGCCTTATTTAGCCTTCCCTTTTTTAGAATACGGCAGGGCCCAACCTGTAATAAACCAGAAGTAAGAAAAAGTATTGAGAGACATAGGTATAGTATATTAAATACATACTTTGATTATTTTCTGAAAATTTAAACAAATTAATTAAATTAATTTTTAACAAAGACATACACGCAATTGCACTTCATCAAGTTCAAATTCTCTAGATAATTCAGTAATATCATTTTTAGTGTATTTTAAGCCATAAATAAATTTTTCTAATTTAATTTCCTAAACTTTTTTTTTAAATTTTATAATAAATATAATAATTAAAAACAAACGTATTTTGTTAAATCCATTATCTTTCCACCTATTAAATTTTAAAGTTATAATCTAGCTATCTTCGGCTCTAGTATAGGGAAAGCGTCCCATGAACTTTTATGCGTCCCATGAGAGAATCATTATAGTACATATATGCGTTCCAAGAAGATAGTGTGCCCCCAAAATTAGTGTTTCCCGTCAGAGTATATACGTCCATAAAATACCGTATTTCCTCAAATAGTACGGCCCCCTCAATTAGTACGGCCCCCTCTATTAGTACGGCCCTTTAGATGAGGGTTGAAAAATAGTACGGCCCCCTCAATTAGTACGGCCCCCCAAATAGTACGGCCCCCATTTAAAAATATAAAAAATATTACAAAATTTGCTCTTCGAATTATAGTAACGATCCTCATCTTTATAATTAAATATATGACCGCTTAATCCTCCCAGATTCCTCCATTTTCAATAAAACTAGCGGAGTTGGTCGGCCTTCGGCCGCCCCACCCCGCTAGCAAAACAAAACAAACCAAAAAAACAAACTCCAAATCAACTTGTCACAACCTCAAAATTGGCCCTAATCAAATCATAATCAGAAAAACCCGATTATCAAAACATTGACCAGCATTAAAACATTACTCATTACCAAAACATTTAACAAAGCATTATCAAACAATATCTAATAGGTGCACCTGATAAGATACAAACAGGCGCTCGTGTGACTCCGCTAGCATAACAAAACAATTCAAATCAAGATCCGTCAACAGCAATATACGGATCTTGTCAATATTCCGCCTGCTTCACAATGCCCCTTCATTCCCCCAGCTTCAATATTCCACCAGTTTCACAATTCCCCATGTTTCAATATTATATATACACATGAACGTTGATATACTGAGTACAGTGGCTATATCTGAGACGCCACTCTGGGTCCTACATCTCTGGGTCCTAACTGGGTCAACCATACAAAAAAGTGACTCTATTGGATTTTTTATAATTCGGTCATATTTTGAACTTTTAAGATTCAAATCTACTTTCCCACAAGAAATCCTTCATAATTCCTATAAATATCGAATACCCCAGATATCCTAATATTCGTCCAAATCCTTGAATATTTCAGATATTCAATTAAATCTTCGGATATCCACTCAAATCACTCTTAATTCACCTAAATTTCTCTTAATCCATATCAGTGTTTTGGAAGGATATCGAGGGAATTTGATGGATTAAGCGGGATTAGAAGAAATATCCGAGGATTTGGATGGATCTCAGGGAAATTCCACGATATCTCTCCTAAATCTCATCAAATCCATTGATAATTCATAACAACTAAGTGCATAAGTCTGGATTCTGGGATATTTTGGTATAGGAATAGAGAACGGAAGAAGATTAAAGAGGGTTAAATTTAATCGAATTGCAAAGATTACAAATTAAAAACTGAGATAAGGCTTGTTGGAGATCTCAGATAATTTCGAAGGATGGTTGAAATATAGTACGGCCCCCTCAATTAGTACGGCCCCCTCAAATAGTACGGCCCTTTGGAAGAGGGTTGAAAAATAGTACGGCCGGCCGTACTATTTGAGGAAATACGGTATTATAGTATGTATATGCGTCCCATCATATAACACACTATAATTGGTTATTACAATTTTTCGCGACTTATGAATGGACATTTTTTGTTATGAATAACCAACAATAGTCAACAATACAAGACAGCCGATAACCCTACTCTCAGCTGGCCAACCTGATTTAAAGCCTATTTTAAATTAAAACTCTTATTTAATATTGTGCCCGCCAGGGATGGGCCGGGTTACCCGAAACCCGGACTTTTTTCGATCCGAAACCCGATCCGAAGAAAATTTTGAAAACCCGACCCGAAACCCGACCCGACTTTTTTCTCAACCCGGCCCATCCCTAGTGCCCGCTATAGTGATGTTTGACAGCATCTTGTTCGGGTTAAGAAAAATTTTATACTACTAAAATTACCTTCTAATTCAATCCTTTCCTTTAATTTATCAATTTCTTTTTTAATTTTAATTTTTTCGTCTCCATTCTCCACTATTTTTATATATTTTTCTAATAATTCTATTTTATATGCAGCTAAATTAATTAATGTCCAATAGTTATTTTTCAATTCCACATTGTAATTTTTTATTTTTTCTTTTGCTGATATTTTTAAATTCATTTTCATATGATTTTTAGACTTTTTATTTTCTAAAATACTGATTGCACCTACTAACATTCTTTTAATTATCTCAAATTTAATTTTTTAATACTTGTAAAACCTTTAGGAATTTGAAGATTCACCCTCTTTCTCAATTTTTCTTTTCTCAAAAGACGCAAAACGGTCAAACACTATTTTCCTAGAAGTTGGACCTTTTTGAGATTTTAAGGACCACTTAAGGACCATTTAAGGACCATTTTGCGAATTTTAAGGAAAGAAAAAAGTGAGTAGAGGTCAAGCTTGTTTTTTATTATCTTGGTTTGCTCATGCTGGGTTTCGCGGAAACTAAGGCCAGCCTTAGTTTATGAACCTAGCCTTATGCTCTAATTGTTAGAAAATAACGTAAAAGTCTGCCTTTCTACCAGAGGTGGGTCGGAATTCCGATTTCCGGCGTTTTTTTACTTCCAATTTCCGATTTCCGAAAAAAATTTTGATTTCCTAGTTCCAACTTATGAGCCATTTCCGATTTCCGGCTCTTCCGATTTCCGACACCTCGACTGTTCCGACCACCTCTGCTTTCTACAAAACAATTTATAAATAAAATTTTTAGTATACTTGTTTTGGTAATGAACTAATTATTTCATCAACCATATTATTTTTAGCTATTTCTATTTCTGGTGTATATCTATACTTTCTAGATATTGAATAATAATTTTTATCCTCCTTTGTGTTTAAATATTCTCCAATTAAATTTTTAAAAGAAAAACGTTCTTCGGGGCTTTTATTTTTTAAATAATTATATTCTCTTGTTTTTAACCAATCCGAATTAATTTCAACTTTGATTGTTGTGGTTATTCTACCGTTTGCAAACTTGTTATAATTTTCCAAATAAATTATAAATAAAACAATGAATATATGAATATTCATTTTTATTTAAATTATTGTTAAAATACACTTTTGGGGGCTGAAAAATTGTATCCTTTAATAAGTTGTATTTTAAATATGGAATATTTCTTAAAATAAAATAAAATAAAATAAATAAATAAATAAATAAATAAATAAATAAAAGCACTTTACTTTAAAATAGGTAAGTTGCCCTTATTTAAATTTTTTCCCTATAATTAAAATGAGGACACATGATTAAACGCTCTATAAAAAATTTTGAAATATATTAAACATTGATTTGTTATAGGTAAATATGTATTAGCATAGTTTGGCATCTCTCTATCTCTCCCTATCTCCTCTAATTTCCCTCGATCTCTCTTAACGGCGAGGGGGAGGGAGAGAGAGAGAGAGGGGGGGGGGGGGTGAAATCTTACTTTAGTAAAGCAGAGCGGGCTATAGCTATTTCTCTCCTTTATGCTGCGTTTACATAAAGAGCGTCTTGCGTTTTCCGGCAATAAATAGTATTCAAATGGAGTAGAGACAAAATAGCGTCTCTTCATTCCCAATGCTATTTTTGCCGCAAAACGCAAGATGCTTTTTATGTAAACAGCATTAGCTGGTGTAAAAGATAAAAGGCGGCTGGGAGCTAACCAGCATCTCCAGTAGACCGGACTGATATGTTATCCATTACACATCGCCTCCTGCACAGCCTTAGGAATTAAATAGCTATCTCTGGTTCAAGCATATATAATATGCTGTCCCTAGTCCGCATGTGTCGATTGCAACAATAAGTGTCGGATTCAAACATATCCGGTTGCAAGTTTCAGCCGCAAAAGCGGTCCACAAATGCCACAATGCCCTTAAAAATCTTTAAAATAATTTTTGTAAATATAATAGATATACTATAACAAAAAATATAGAAGTAAAAATTTCTTAATTAAGATTGAATTAGGCGTTCGTTTTGGGAAAACATTAATTGTCGATGAATTAGACAACGACATAGAGCCATCACTTGTCCCATTACTCCGTCGGGAGTTTAAAAGTATTGGAACAAGATTAACTGTTCAATTGGGAGAAAAACAGGTGTTCTAAATTCTTTAAAATTAAAAACATTTTGTTATGAAGGTTGATTTCAATGACAAATTTCGTTTATTCCTTTGCACTCGGAATGAACATAACCGGTTAGGTGAACATATTCGTGGTTCACTCACTGAAGTTAATTTTTCTGTCACTCGTTCTGGCCTAGCTTCGCAACTTTTAGGCTTAGCAATTCAAATAGAACAGCCAGAATTGGAACGTAATTCTGCTCAATTAAGCAGTCAGATGGAAAGCCTTCAAGTACAGCTTGACCAAATTGAACAAGTTTTATTAGAGGAATTAGCAAAATCAGAGGGATCTTTACTTGAGAACAACTCTCTTTTAGAATCTCTAAATCAGAGTAAAGAAAAGGCTGAAAAAGTTGCAAAAGTAGGTTAAAAATATTGAAAAATCATTCAATTTTTCATTAGGGAATAGTCGAATCCAAACGGCTCCGTGCTGAGATTGACTCGAAACGTGAGGCATTCAGACCCTTTGCAGAGCGTTGTGCTCAACTTTACTTTGCCATACGTCCATTAAAGAGCATCAAATCTTGTTATCAATATAGTGTAAATGATTGTATTGCTTTGTTTCGAAAATGTTTTGATTCTAATAATGTAAACGATGCACGGCCGAAATCAACAGCTGGGGCTGAGGAAGGAGGCAAAAGTCATTTGGAGAGGTACGGGTAATTTTGAGATATTGAGAAGGGGAAATAATTATCATTTTTATTTCTCTGGGAAATCAAAACATTTAGAATTGGAGACCAGAGACAGATCGAGAATCTTTGTCTTTATAAAGGAGATTTTTGATCGAGTTCTTGTTTCTATCCGATCTCCAGTTTTAACTTCCATGACATGAAAAACCTCAAATTATGATTTTTATTTTAACTATTTCAAAGGATTTATCGCCGTTTGAGACAAAAATTGTTTGAATATATTTCACTTTCTTTGTTCAAAGAGGATAGATTGACTTTTGCTATGCAATATTTGCACCAGGAAGCTGTTTCTGGAGGAGGAGGACAACATTTATTTGCCCCAAAAGAATGGGAATTGTTTACTGGTGTTTCACAATTACCTTCTGAAAATGTAGGAGAAAATGTATGTTCTTCAAAAAAATTATTATTCCCTTTAACTATTAAAATTTATAGAATAGTCATTTATCCCAAATTGGATGGCTGTCAGATTATCGTGATAAGAAACAAGCAATTGAACTTATTCGAACACATTTGCCTTCTCTTTTTCAGCAAATGCAGATTAATGACCAACAGGCTTGGGCTGGTTTTATGAAATCAACTGAATGTGAAAATGCATATCCTCCTAGTATTAATTCGCGTCTTAGTGATTTTCAGAGAGTTTTGATTATCCAGGTGTCTTAAGATATTAGTGGAGATATTAAAACAAAGTTATGATAAGGCGGCTACTTAGTTAATAAAATAAAAATGAAATCCACAAATCGGTGGTGAATTAGTCTATCACTGATTTTTAGAATCAAGAGGATATGGCCTTTAAATTGAACATTAAAGTGGCTTAGGGGGAGAGATACTTTTATTAATAGTTCGGATTATATGGCGAGTTTCATTATAAATAGGAGTTTCATTATAAATAGTTACATACATATATTTATTACAAAATTTATCGTTAAATAACAGGCTCTCCGCCCAGACCGTCTCCATGCAGGAATAAATCGTTTTGCATCAAAAGTTCTTGGAATAGAATCTCTAAGTTCGCAACATTTGGATTTACTTGCTCTACATAAAGAAGAACCTCCATCTCGTCCAATTCTTTTGTTAGTTTCCCCAGGCTCTTCTGCTGATCCTAGTGCTGAATTAATTGAATGTGCTAAACAACAACAAAGAAAATTTCATCAAATGGCTTTTGGCCAACCTGGGACGGAATCTATTGTTTTACAAATGCTTAGACAATGTTTTAAGGATGGGGATTGGATTTGTTTAAGCAATGCACATTTATCTACGCCTTCATTACTTGGGAAATTATTAGTAGAAATCTCGGTGAGAGAACCTTTTTAGATAAATAATTTTTTACATAATGTTTAAATGATAATATTCTTCAATAAATGTGGCTCTTTAGAGATTCATACTTACAATCTAAAGATCGAAACGGGACAAAAGCTTGTTTAGGATTATTCGAGATATCAATCCTAAATGCCGAGAGATGTTCAAGATCGATCTCTGAAAAGATTAACTGTCTGACACCCGGTGTTTGGAAGCTCGTCCCAAAATTCATACTCGTACCTGTGTACTAAGAACGAGTACCAAGCTAAAAATGGGGCAGGTACGAGTACGAGGAATAAGGCCTGGACGAAAGTACGAGTACGAGCAAATTTCAGAATTTCAAACACTGCTGAAAACACACATCTGCCTGACATTTTATAAAAACAAGATTAAATAGGACCCAAAATTAATAAAAATTAATTTTGATTTTCATTATCTACCTTTATCTTGAGCCGAAAATTTTATAGATTTAACTGAACATTTAACATTTTTAGTAGTATTCAATCCATTTTTAATAATTTTATTTTTAGTCAACAATTGGCCAGTCAAATCCAAGTAAAGGTGAATTTCGCCTTTGGCTTACAGCCGAACCCGAAGAACAATTGCCTGGAGTATTTCTACAAACTTGTGTAAAAATTACATATGAGACACCCCCCGGCATTAAACAAAATTTGGAACAAAATTATTTTGGCCAAGAAATGGAAATTGCACCGAAAAGTTTATCTCATCTAAAGGCCAATTTTCTTTTGCATTGGCTACATGCTGTTATACAGGAAAGAAGAAATTTTATTCCACAAGCGTGGTTAAGGTATATGGAGTAATTTTATAACTCAAGATTGAATCAAAAAAATTTTTACGCAATCGGGAACTTAAATCTGTACCATAACAAATCAAATTATGATTACTATTTCTGAATCAGTCGACCTCCCTATAAGTCACGCAATTTTGGATATCTCAAATTAAGATACGCTTAGTAAGCTTTTTGGCCACTGGCTGGAAGATATACCTAACAAGTAAGTGATACTACATATTTAAGGTGGCATTATAAGATCTATTTTTCAATCCGTATATCTTATAATAAGGTAATACTGATTTAATGAATGATGTAGCTAAAAATGAATACAAGAATTTCACATTTTCAGATTTTATGAATTTTCTGGTGCTGATTTGCGTGTAGCTAAAAATTCATTGGATACACTTTTTGCAAAAAATACATCAAATTCAGACCCTCTTATTTACTGGGAACGATTTCGTGGACTTATGTCCAATGCTCTATATGGAGGAAGAATTGAGGCTGAATTAGATAATCGAATATTATCGGCTTTTCTTTTAGACTTGTTTAATCCTTCAATAATTGAAGGGAAAGATGGGAATGTTGAATTGGCAAATGGATTGAAAATGCCTAATTTTGGGAGACATTCGGTCGGTTTTCAGAGCTAAATAGTTGCTTTAATTGAATGAACTAAAATTTTAGGAATATATTCATTGGGTAGAAACAACACTTCCTGTTGTTGACAGAGCCGAATTGTTATACCTTCCAAGAAATATTATGCTTTCCTGGGATTTGTCCCAAAGCACTAATGTTATTTCCAAACTTCGACTTCTTTTTACTTCTAAAGAAACTTTTCAACGTTTACAAACAACTTCAAGTGGTGGCCCTGCTGCTATTGCTTCTAGACAACAATTGGCAGACGCTCTTAACCCATTGTTGGGATTGTGGAAAAGATTGAATCAACAAAATCCTGGCCTCTTACATGCAGCTGCTGAACAGAAGAATCAGAGACCAATATCGGCAGGACAGGAGCTAAAAGGTATAAAATAGAATGATTTTCATCGTTTGGGAACAAATCCCATTTGTCCTTATAATTGTCCTCGATTGTATATTGATATCCAACTATATTTTCACTTATTTTTATCATTTTCAAGAAACATCACCATCATTTGGACGACGTACAGGCGATGATCCTCTTGCCGAAATTTTACATTTAGAGCTTGTATTTGCTCTCAAATTGATGCAATTTATACATACTTCTTTATCTGCTTTAAGTCGAGCTATCAAAGGCACTCAACTACCAGAAAAGCGAATAGTAGAAATGGCAAAGGAATTGATGCATTTTGAAGTAAAATTTTGAAATAAAAATTTCCAAAAAAATTTTTCCAGGTTCCTTCTGCCTGGGATGCCCTTTGGAGTGGTCCACCCGTTCCCAGTCAATATTTGGAAATTCTTATTTCTAAAGCAAAAAGTACACAGTTAATGCTTTCTTCAGCACGGTCAAATCAACTTCTTGGTTCTCGAGTTAATTTGGCTCATCTTCTCAGACCTGGCACTTTGTTAAATGCTTTTAGACAATATTCAGCAAGGTGTGAGATTTAATACACACAGACCTCATCTTTAAATACTCCAAATACTGAATACACCAGATTTTAAGATATGCATTTTAAATTGGTTGACAACTGGGCGAGTAAAGGTGCTTGCAAGATACTCTCTATTTAAATTACCTCCTGTTATAAGATACTATTTTTCCAGCCAAAAGGAGTATCAAAAAATGAGATTCGACTATATAAGATATTAATTTAATTTTATCCTTATAGAAAATTAAATGTTAGTATGGATGAATTAATTTTATCAACAATCTGGCAAAATGATCAAAATAGTATCTCACAACCAAACGATATTCCAACTTTAACACTTTCGAATTTACGCGTACAGGGTGCAATATTTGATGGAAAGGAGCTTAAATCAGTTACTGCAAATACTCCTTCATTCACTGAGGCACCCGCTTTGAAAATTTTTTGGAGAAAAGAGGTGTGAATTTTAAAAAAGAATTTGGAAAAGTTCAAAGAAAAAATTCAAAAATTTTTAGGAAATAGGGGAGCAAACACAATTTAAAGACAAACAACAATTATCGTTGCCATTATTTTCTGACCTAGATCGACGTGAAATGATATTTCAAGTGGGCGTTACATGTCCAATATCTTTACAAAGTTCTTGGATTTTGGCAGGAGTTGCTTTTTTCTTAAGCCAAAATTAATTTTAAATTAATGTTGAATTTATTATTACATATTATTAAATTTTAATAATTTTCTATTTCAATATTTTTTAATTCTGGTCATATCTTGACATACGATAAACATAAAAATTATTTAGTTTCAAAAACGAGGAATAATTTTTTATAATTATGAGACAATTTGTTTTATTAGTGTGTTAATTTTAACGGCTCAGAAACACGAAACAGAAGAAAGTACGGATGCCTCGAAGGATTGTTGATCCGAATAACCTGCCATCTTCGATCTAGCTATCTTAAGGGTGACTCTAATAAAACCTGACACATTATTAATGACATGCCTTTATTCAAATTAAAGATAGTGAGATCAACTAGAGCTTAGATAACAAATATACCATCATGCTTAATTTCAAAAGAAACCTATTCATAGGGTTGATTGTTAAGGCCGAACCGACAACTTGAGATTCTTAGGCTCGGTTCAATTTCCGAAGATTTTCCGAGAACCAACAACCATGGTTAATTGACAGGTGTAAAATTTTAAAACAATTTTAAGCAAATATTTTGAAAAAATTCTGGTTGATTGAAAAATAAATACGTCATTATTTTATTATTTATAAAGTATGTATTTTATTAAGCACTTACATACGTCCCGTCGTTGCATTTTTCTTTTTGAGTCTTGTGGAGAAGTCCAAAAATTGACTTCTCGCATACTAGTGATGGTCGGGATTCCCGGTCTCGGTTCCCGAGTCGGGAAATTTCCCGGGTTTTTTGAGCTCTCGGTCTTGGTCTCGGTCTCGGTGTTTTAGTCTCGGAAAACGAGACTAAATGTACACCCCTAATGACGGAAATTTTTTGAATTTTACTCGTACTACGTGTACCTTGACATTAAATTTTTTAAGGAAAAGGGAAAGAAATATTTATATTTTCTCCAATTTTTCTTTTGTTGTCGATGGTTGAGTGGTTAGTGTGACTGACTTCAATCACCTAGTTATTTTGTTAGTTCTGGGTTCGAATCCAGGGGTGGAATTGAAGCTGAAAAATTTTTCTTTTCAAAAATAAATGTCTATTAACTTTGATTTTGATTTCAAATTTATTTTTTTAATATTTTAAACTTGAAAAGACATTAAAAATTTTAATTTAATCATGAATTTTTTAAAATTTTCGCATAAGGCGCCTAAATCCTTACTATACATACTCACTTGCGGCGTAGAAAATGGGAGAAATCTGGCTTCATGACCTCCAAAATTCTCAAAATTTTCGCCTGCGGCACAAAAAATGAATGAAATTGGAGGATTTATGGCTTAAAGCCTTACAAAATACAAGAATTATCGTATACGGCCCTAAATATTAGGGGTATCAATGGACTTGTCGGATATCTGAGCTTATGGGGATTTGAAAGGATATGGAGGTGGATTAAAATTAAGAGGGATATCTGGAGATTTGGAAGGATTAAAGTAAACATAAAGGGACTTGTGAGCGGCATCGAGGGATAAAGAAGATATCGTTCGATTTGGAGGGATATCGAGGGAAATAAGGAGATTCTAAGCGATTAATGTGAATATCAGTGGATTAAGGTGGATATCGGAAGATTTAAAAGAAGTAAAGTTATATTGTGGATGTGGGGATTCAAGGGATTTGAGGGATTATGAAGGATATATAGGGATATAGGATTATGAATGATATATATGGGTATATCATGTGACTATCGCATACTCCCCCTACTCTTTTTTAATTTTCAAAAGTCTGTAACTCAATTCTGATTAACGGATCAGCTTCCCCCACACCTATTTCGATTCGGTTTTCGAAGAGCTTTCGAATGAAATATGTATAACACTCCTATATTCGACCTCTGCAAAAAATTGTCTTGTACTTCTCCAGAGAACGTAACGTAAGAAGATCATATTAACATTAATGTATTAAAAGTACTAGAAACAGAATGTTTTCGTGATCTTGGAATTTTAATTAATTTTACAATATCATATATAATTATTAAAAATTTATCTAAAACGTTTTAAAATAATAAGAATCATTAATGTCCCGACACAATTTTTTTGTTTATCTAAATAATAATTTCATTTTATTTCAAACATTTATAATAATTTAATAAAAAGCCAGCTGAATTTTTTTACTTTTAAACAATTTAATAATTATATGTTTATCATAATATATTCGTTAATTTTCACCTGAAAAAATAATTAAATATTAAAAAGTTTATAAAGTTTTTTTTGTTTAACACAATAAATGGTAAATAAAATCTTGACGTGCTTGTCTAAATAATTATTTATTTTATTTAAGCAATCAGTATTGTCGATCTTAACATTAAAAAATAATTTTTAATGCAGTCAAAAATAAATTAAAAATTTTTTATTTAAAATTCCCGTATTTGCACCAGGGATGTCACGGCTTGAGAAAAATGTCGGGTCGGGTTTCGGGTCGGGTTTCCAAAATTTTTCTCGGATCGGGTTTCGGGTTTCGGGTTGAGCAAAAAGTCGGGTCGGGTTTCGGATCGGGTTTTCAAAATTTTCTTCGGATCGGGTTTCGGGTCGAAAAAAAGTCCGAGTATCTTCCCTTCTCAGCGCCGCAGGCGAAAATTTTGAGAATTCTGGAAAGTCCGAAGCCAGCTTTCTTCCTTTTTCAGCGCCGCAGGCGAAAATTTTCAGAATTTTGGAAGATCATTAAGCTAAAAATCTTCCCTTTTTCTCCGACGAGGGCAAAAATTTTGAGAAAACTCGGGTCGGGTTTCGGGTCGGGTCTTGAAAAATAAAAATTCTCGGGTCGGGTTTCGGATCGGGTTTTAGAAAATTTCTCAGATCGGGTTTCGGGTATCGGGTCGAAAAAAAGGCCGGGTTTCGGGTATCGGGTTTCGGGTAACCCGTGACATCCCTGATTTGCACCCCCTGAATTGGTACTCCCCCTAAATAATGCCCCCCCCCCACTTAAATAGTATTCCCTATATTTGAAAAATTAGTGTAACAAAGGAAAAGATTTACTTTTTTTATTATTTTATTCATTCTAAGCAGTACTTTTTAGTTGTATACATGTGAATTTGGACGGATATCAGGCATTTGTAGAGATTTTGAAGGATTAAGTAAGGGTGATATCAGTGATAGGATCAGACATGGGCGAAACTAAAAATTTTTCGGTCTAAACAAAACGAAGCAAAAATTTTTAAAACTCGTTTCGTTAACGAAACGAACTCAACCATTTTTTGGAATATCACCCAAAATTAGGTTATAAAAATAGTTTTACTTTGAACCCCGTAATTTAGTCTTATTTATAGGTTCAAGATTAAAAAACCTAAATTAAATAAATTTATACTATAAAAAATATTTACTTTTAATTTTATTAAAATTTTTCTCAAAAATGATTCAACAAAATTACTCGACAGCTTTGGAAAATTATCGTCAAACTGGAGATATTTGTGCTTATTTAAAGATAACATCAACAACTAAAACTGATTCAGAAAATTTAGCTGATAAATTAAATGCTTTAGATATTTATCAAGGAACAAATAAAAGTTTTTTAACAATTTATTTGCCAACAATTGAACATCAACTAATTGTTGGAGAATGTTCCTACAATTTTAAATCTAAACAGATTACTGTATCTATGTTTTTAAACTAATATTTGAATTAAAAAATAATATTGAGAATAGTTGGTACCCAGTCAACCCCTGAAAAACTTGATAACAGATAAGAGCCCTTCAAATAACAACCCTGACTTTGTAGAACTCCTCCACTTTTCATGAGATCTAGGTCAGATGCCAGGCAACAGATTATGGCAATGCTTTTTAACGAGATTCCTGTGTGAACCTAAGCAACTGACAGGCCAAATGTGGAATCAATGCAATACAGCCCGATCATTTATCCTTTCCTTATTTCTTAAAATTTGTCAATTTATCAATAATTTGTCAATAAAATTAAATAAAATTAAAATTTTAGACACAAGCTTATTACAATAGTACACTTTATTATTATGATGAATTAGGTTTTACTAAACCAATAATTCCTTGGATTGTTATTCCAGGCATATTTACAATTATTTCTATAATTCTAAATATTACTTTAATTTTTGTTTCAATTCGAAAAATGTAAGCTTTTGCTAAAAAGTTTTCAAAAAATTCAAAATTAAATTTTAAAGTCCAATGGAAAGAATTTGCAATTTATTAATTCTTTTCGATGCTTTTTGTCTAATTTTAGCTGTTTCTCCTTTTGGTTTAAATTTTTTAGCTTTAATTTTAAATTTTGTATCAATTGATTGGCGTGTTTGTTTTTATTTTCATTTAATTTCAACAATTGGTTCGTATTCCTCTTTTATGGCTATCTATTTTATTTCTTTGGAAAGAGCTTTAATTATATTTTTTCCAACAAAGTTTGTGGTTTTTATTTAAAATTTTTAAATTATGGAAGATAAACTTCAAAATTAAGACTAACAATTTTAGTGTGAGATATAAATCACTTAAAGATTTGATCTTGGGTCTGAAAAATTATACATTAAACCGATTTGTTGTTTGTTCTTCTAGAGCCGCTTACGAAAATTTTGACAATTTAGAAAAAATATTGACCATTATTCACCTCTTTTTTAGAATTTTTGGACCCTTGTAAATCAGTTAAGGGAGTTTCAAAGACTAGATCTGGCTTTCCTTCATCCAAATTCAATTTAAGAAAATTTTAAAAAATATTTTGAAATGAGGATATTATTGAGTATTAAAAGAGTTTCGAGTGTAGTTTATTTGAAAATTTAAAAATTAATGGAAAAAAATTTTTTGGGTCTATATGTACAAAATGTTATATTAAAAAAATTTTATACTTAAAGATATGTAAATTTTAATAATTAATTTTAATATTTGAAAAAAAAATCAAAAATATTTTAACCTAAATTTAAGAATACACTTTATCGATACATCTACAATTCACCGTATTTCTTTTTAATAATTATTATTTGTATTGTTTTTGGAATAATAATGTCATTAATTCAATTTAATGTTTGGACAATACTTAATCTTCCATTTTATAAGTAAAATCTTAATTTTTTATTTTAAATAATAAATATGGTAAAATTGAACTTTGTCCCCCTTTTCCTTCATCAAATTAATAAAATGGTCAGACAAAATGTTGTAAAAATATTACTCGATGGCTATAAGCTTCTTAGAACCGTTGCGTGTTTTTTCGGAAATCGTAATTCCGACCCACCTGGTTCATACCACATTTCTATTTCCAATTATTTCACCCTATTCCAAAAAATTTTTTATGGTGACAGAAAGACCTACACACCCAGAGTTATGTTACACACGTGTGATTCTAAAAAGTGGGGGTTCTAAATAATCACATTTAAGCCTGATTATTTTTAATATTTTGTGGGAAGAAGTGGAGGGGGGGGGGGGAGGGAGGGGGAACGAAGTTCAAACACGCCAAAAATATATTTTTATTTTAGATTGTTATATTGTAATTCTGGTTTATATTCTGATGTTTTAAATTCAATTCCTTCTTATTTTGTTTTGTCTGCTTCTTCCTTAAATTATTTTTCAATTTATTCCTCAATTTATTGGCGTTATTTAAAATCAAAAGAAAAAAATAAAAAAATAGATAATCAAGCTAAAAATCAAAATAATTCTTCAATTCCCGATCCAAATCTTCGAATTCTCCGTTCAGTTTTTGTGATTTCTTTTATAATTATTTTTGGTTGGATAGTTGGTTCTGCTGCAAGAAATTCTGTGACAACATTATGTAATACTATAACTACAACTTTTTCTAATATTTTTAAAGATGAAAAAGGGAACCCATCACAAACAATTTCTAATATTATAACTACATATTTACTTAGTATAGTTATTTGTATTAATCCGATTTCGGCTGGAATTAATTCGTTAATTCTTTTTACTTCAAAGTAAAATTTATTTTTTTTTTAAATTAAAGAAATATTTTATTAAAGTTCTGAATATAGAAATGCTTTCAAAAAAGCTTTTGGTATTAAACAACAATCAAATGCAGTCGTCCCTATTGGACCTTATTTTAAAAATCAACAAACTTAGAATTAATTGATTCTTAAAGAATTTAAAAGAAAAATTAAATCTTAAACATAATTTTATCATTTATACATACATACATACATCTTTATTTCCAATTTACATCCAATTATATTTACTAATAGTACATTAATTATTATACTAAGATGAACTTTTATTAAGTAATTTTTAAATTTTCAGCTGGCAAGGGTGGACGCAATTGAAAAAAATTTTCTGCAGCAGCAATCCGCAAGTCAAAAAAAACACGCAATTTCACGCAAGACGCATCCGCAATTGCGTCCAGTCCTGGACCCAAGCCGAACCCCAGTCTTTTTTTCAACATGAAATCCGAAACTTGATCCGAAGAAACCACCGACCCATAAATAATATCTGCAATTATTTTGTCTATTTTCAGACTTATTAGCTACCTCATATTCTTGTATAATTACACCCTCCAGCGTGAGTGTATTCGAGCACACACAGTCTTAAGGATTAATTTACGATCCTCTGTTATTTTTGTTTCGATCAGATCGTAACTGAACTGATGATCATTTATTATCAAAAATACTATCATTTTTATATAAAATAATCAAATTATAAAATCGTATAAAATCATTCTTTTTCATCATTCATATTTTTGAATTTCCATATTTTGAATTTTGCTGTACCAAAATAGTTACTGGCGTTACTTTCTGAGTTTTTGTTTTAATTTTAAATACTTTTTGTATTAAAAATTCTCTGTATGGACGCATTGTGTAAATGCTCGCCAATGGATTTAATAGGGGTAACCAATGACTTAAAAGTCCTTGAAACATAAAAAGTAAACTTTCTGTATTTAAATCTAAAAAATGTGGAGCAACACTGCTAATGAATGTGTTTGTAGACATCAAAATTAACGGGAAACTAGCCTAAATAATTAGAAAATTAAAAAAATTTTTACAACAGTTGCGTAGTGACGTTTGCGGACAAACTCACTAAAATATACATTTGCACATAAGGACAACCACTAGGCGTAAGATAAAAAATTTGTGGCATATAAGCGTGAATCCTACTATTTATTTATGGTATAATTAGAGTTGTCGATTCTGAACCGAACGAAGATTCGACATTGCTCATCCCTAAAAATTTTTGGCTTGGTTTCGGATATCCGAAGAATTTCCAGGAACCGACAACCCTAGTTATAATATACCTAAAAAGCTTTGTGGATGTAAGCTTTGTGTAAGCAATGTGGATGTCCGTAAATGTCGCTTTACCTTATCATAACTAATTTTAAAATATTACCAAAATTATAAGTGTTTTAATTAATTGTTTATTCAATTCTTTCATTTTTTGTGTTAAACTTGAATGAATATGCACAAAGCGAACCATTTTAACCCCACAAAAGATTACAATGACATAACAAATAATCTGAAGAATTTGGTAAGAATAATTCCAATAAATGACTAAATCCATTGCCTTAAAAAATATTTTTTATTTAATTTACTAAAATCCCCTTCCACTTCCTTTATCTTTGATTAAAATTATAGAGGTCAATGGTGCAAAAAGTTAGCTTATGCAGAGGCGGTTCGAATTTCCGATTTCCAATGTATTTCCCTTCCGATCTACGAAATTTTGGAAAAATTTCCAAAATTTTTCCTGCACCTTCGTCATTTTTGATCCACCTCTGATCTTACGAATCCACTCTTTTTTATTTATTTATACGACAATCACAGGTACAAACTTGTACAATTTTGTACACTTTTTATTGTCTACCTTTTAATTAATTAACCCCTACCATTATGCACCATTGACCATCTTTGTACTATACTTCTTCAAAAAAAGGAGAAAGGAGGAGAGAAACCCGGTTATACCTTTTATGATTATTATTTAAAAAAACAAACATTAAATGAATATGTAACAGCAATATATTTTTCTGCTGATTCTCGGTCCATAAAATAAGAAAAAAAGGAAATATCAAGATTTTGTTTATTTAGCTGATCTTTAGCAACCATAAAGAACCAGCTAATTGCAAGCAATAGACTAGCAATAAAAGGTATTGTCGCTAGATATGTATAACGAAGAATGTTGATAGTAATTCGGCTTTAAAATAATTTTTAGAATACTAATTAATAGAGTCCGGATTTTTATTGAAATAAAATCGCAAAATATGGCCATAAAATATTGAAATAAATGGGCGAAATATTGACAAAAAATGCCAAAAAAAAGTAAAATATTGAAATAAATTATGGTTTATTTAGTGCCAAAACTTAAAAAAATTTGAAATTTAACAAATAAAAACTGTTTTTGTGCTGCTATAGGGAGCTAGCCGATATTTCAAGACAGCATTATATTTTATTCACAATCAAAAATAAAAAATGCTTAAATTAACAAAAAGAGATGGGCCAAAATAGTGATGTGACATTTTATGGGCTTTGCTTAATCCGGCATTTTTGAGGGACATTTTGGGATATTTTGGGTATGGGAAATCATTTGTGTGCCTTTATAGGGGTTTTTGTTACGTGGGATCCTTATAAATTTTTTTATTAAAGTATCTAAGATTGTCGTGAGACGGAGAATGTTTCGGGAACAATTTGCAGAAAAGAAACGCCAGTGGTGGATAATAGCCAGAATTACACTTTTCAGTGCCGCAGGCGAAAATTTTGAAAATTTTTGAGGTCAAACTGCCAAATTTTTTCACTTTTTTCCGAAGAATTTATGAAAATTACAAAAGTTTGGCAAAAATTTGCAAAAATGTTGAAATAATTTGTAAAAAGTGCCAAATATTGAAATAACGGGAAAATTGGCAAAATATTGAAATATATTGAAATACAGCTTTGTTCAGAATTATAGAATCGAAAAACTAATAGCATATTTGGGCTTCTCTCGACAAACTGTGTTTGCAAAAAAACATTTTATTTCAATAAAATCCGGACTCTACTAATTAACTCACTATAGGTCAATCTAGGATGAGTAATTTTGCCCTACATATGATTGAGGTAGCGATTTTCTCTTCTACATGTGATTGAGGCAAAGGGTGGCGGTTTCTGGTATTCGGAACCGAAAAAACCTCGGGTATCAGGAAATTTTTGTTTCGGCTATCGGTTTCAGTTCCGGATACCCGAAAATTTCCCAGGAACCGCCAACCTTAATTGAGGCCCGACTACATGTTAAATAAGTAAATATACCAATTAAGCCCCAGGTATCGATAAAGAAACTGTACAGCAATTCCATTAACATCTAATGTATTCAAAAAATACCAGATAGCAAAAATATAAATTTGTATTAAAGGAACTTCTTCAAAAAAAGAAGAAAAATATCCTTGGAAAAGCATAACACAAAAACCACTTGGTTGGAAGCTTAGTACCTAAAAAATTTAATGAATAAGAATTATCCTACATATGTATGTATTATAAATTTAGACCAGACAGGATCAACGTTATCGAGATTTTGATTCTCGTACGACCCTCAAGCCCTGTTTTAATTATAAATTAGGGTTGTTGGCGACCTGTTATTAACCGGTACCTCCGGTTTTCGGTTAATCTAAATTTTAGAAATCCGGTTTTCTGTTTTGAGTTTTAGGCAAATACCGGTTTTATTTTGCGGGAATTTTAAATAAAATCACTCATTTTCACGAATTTCTGGTTTTCTGTTTTTAAAATTTTCTAAAAATGGTTAATTTCCAGCAAAAAGTTTCAAAAATTCTGGTTTTCAAACCGGTTGCTAACAACCATATTATAAATTTATTTATTTATTCGTAAAATTTATTTATTTATTCGCTTGAGGGTCGTACGAGAATCAAAATCTCGATAACGTTGATCCTGTCTGGTCTAAATTTATAATACATACATATGTAGGATAATTCGTAATTTTTCGTAATTGCAATTGCTTTTTATTACTCGTAAAAATCGAGTTAACAGTCCTGTTATAGTACCAAAGTTCACAGAAAAGAAATAAACGAAAAAAGATTCCATCGCTTTACCGAATCCTAAACAAATTTCTGCTTGATTCCATACCGACAAGTTTTATTTGACTAATCTGATAATTTTTAAGAAGTTTCCCTATTTCCCCAAAATTCCATAATTTCTAAAAAAAATTTACAGGCTGTCCAAATATTGTAACAATTAAAAGAGCAATATCAATCACACAAGTTTGTAACAAAATTCGACTGTGAATTCTCATTTCTTTTGGTGTTTTTTTAATAATTAAATAAATAAGTCCAATATTTGCTATTAGACCTATTGGAGGACATAAACGAGAGTGCCAATAATGGATTTTGTCAAAACAACAAAAAACCTTATTTTGTGTTGTCATTTAATATTTAGAAATATTTTTTAATTTCTATTCAAAATAAAATATTATTAACATAACAATTTAACAAAAATAAAATTTTATTTAATTAATATATCAACCTCGATTTTACGACACCCCGACGTTAAAAACATTAGTGTTTATAATTGTATGGATGGTAACAATTTATAGTAGTCCCCAGAGGTGGGTCGGAATTCCGATTTCCGGCGTTTTTTTCTTCCGATTTCCAAAAAAATTTTGATTTCCGATTTCCGAGTTCCGACCTTTGAGCCACTTCAGATTTCCGGCTCTTTCGATTTCCGACACCTCTGACAGTTCCGACCCATGGTAGTCCCCATTGGCCAACCAAACTTAAAATATATACATTAAATTGGAGTTTAACTTATTGTGGATTGTACGCAAGTCCAAGATCCGTTTCTAAAATAACTTTATCTAAGATACTATGTTTTTGCTTAATTTTATTTGGAAATGTTTAAAATATAAAATTTCTTTTTCTAAATTTTTTAAATTTTGTCTAAATTAAATTGGAAATAAGTAAAAATTAGAGAATAACCCCAAAACTTGTTAACACCAAATTGAATGTTAATTTTAAAAATTAAAAACTATAAATACTAACGTTTTTTCTTTTAAATAAAAAAATTAAATTATCATGTACATATTCATAAAACTGACAATTTTAATTTAAAATTCCTAGTTTATCTAAATTAAATTATTAAATAGAAGAAAAAAAAGATTGGTTA